GTGTTTTTTAGTTTTTTCTTCTAATTGTTTTCTAGTTTCAAATAATTGTGGTCAAAGATGATGCTTGGTATGATTTGAATCTTCTTAAATTTATTTAGACTTATTTTGTGGCCTAATATGTGGTCTATCCTGAAAAATGTTTCATGTGCGCTTGAAAAGAATGTATATCTGCTGCTTTGGGGTGAAATGCTTTGAAAATATCAATTAAATCCTTCTGGTCTAATATGTCATTTAGGCTGCTGTTTCCTTATTGATCTTCTGTCTGGAATATCTATTCCTTGAGGTCAATAGGATGTTAAAATTTCTTACTATGATTGTATTACTGTTGGTTTCTCGCTTTAAGTCTATCAGTTTTTGCTGTGTATATTTAGGTGCTTTTATGTTGGGTGCATAAATGTTACAGGGTTATATCCTCTTGTTGGATTGAGCCCTTTGTCTTTATACAATGTCCTTCTTTGTCTCTTCATAGTCTTGGTTTTAAAGTCTATTTTGTTCCATTTAAATATTGCTACCTCACCTTTTTTCCCCCCATTTCTATTTGCACGAAATATTTTTTTCCAACCTTTACTTTCAGTCTGTGTGTATCTTTTAATATCAAGTAGGTCTCTAGTAGACTATATATATATACATGGGTCTTGTTTTATTATTGATTCTTACCCTATATCTTTTTATTGGAGCATTTAATCCATTTACCTTTAAAGTGATTATTGATAGGTATGTATTTGTTGGCATTTTATTATATATATCCTCCTCCTCCTTCTTGTCCCTTTAACATTTCTTATAAAACTGGTTTGGTAGGGAAGAATTCTCTTAGCTTTTTCTTGTCTAGGAAGTTCTTTATTTCCCCTTCAATTTTAAATGATAGCCTTGCAGGGTAAAGCAATCTTAGTTGTAGGTCCTTGATTTTTATCACTTTGAATATTTCATACAAATCCCTCTGTCCTAAAATGTTTTTGTTGAGAAATTGGCTGACAGCCCTGGCCGGTTTGGCTCAGCGGTTAGAGCATCCGCCTGCGGTCCGGAGAGACCTGGGTTCGGTTCCCGCTAAGGGCATGTACCTCGGTTGCAGTTTGTCCCCGGCCCTGGTTGGTTGTGCGGGTGGCAGCCACTCGATGTGTCCCTTTCACGTCGATGTTTCCCTCTCTCTCTCTCTTCCGTTCTCTCCCTCCCACTCTATCTGTGCAAAAAATGGAAAAATGTCCTCGGGTGAGGATTAAAAAAAAAAAAAAATTAGAAGGAGAAATTGGCTGACAGTCTTATGGGAGCTCCCTTGTAAGAGAAAGACAGGTAACTAACTGTCTTTCTCTTGCTGCTTTTAAGATTCTCTCTTTGTCTTTAACCTTTGGCATTTTGATGATGATGCGTCTTGGTGTGGACTTCTTTGGGTTCATCTTGTTTGGGACTCCCTGTGCTTCCTGGACTTGTATGTCTGTTTCCTTCACCAAGTTAGGGAAGTTTTCAGTCATTATATTTTCAAAGAGATTCTCAATCCCTTGCTTTCTCTCTTCTCCTTCAGGTACTTCTATTATGTGGATGTTGTTACACTTGATATTGTCCCAAAAGTTCCTTAAACTATCTTCATATTTTAAATTATTTTTTTATTTGCTCCTTTGATTCGATGTTTTCTGCTACCCTGTCTTCCAAATAACCAGTTTTATCCTCTGCTTCATCTAATCTGATGTTGATTCCTTTTAGTGTATTCTTCATTTCAGATACTGTAGTGTTCATTTCTGACTGGATCTTTTTTTTTCTTTGTTTTATTTTATTTATTTTTGATATTTTGTTCAGAGTGGGAGGGAGAGAGGAAGAGAGAGAGAGAGAGAGAGAGAGAGAGAGAGAGAGAGAGAGAAACATCAACGTGAAAGGGACACATCAAGTGGCTGCCACCCGCATGACCAACCAGGACCAGGGACAAACTGCAACCGAGGTACGTGCCCTTAGCGGGAACCCGGGTCTCTCTGGACCACAGGCCGATGCTCCAACCGCTGAGCCAAACCGGCCAGGGCGTGACTGGATTTTTTTAATGGTTTTTATGTCCTTTATATGCTCACTATCTTTTTGTTGAAATTCTCACTGAATTTATCTATTCTTCACATAAGTTCCATTAGCATCTTTATAACCATTGTTTTGAACTCTATCTGGTAGATGTTTGCCTCCATTTAACTTAGTTCTTTTCATGGGAATTTCTTCTCTTTTGTTTTGTTTTTTATTTTTTTTATTTTATTTGGGACATGATTTTTTGTCCCCCCATTTTGGCAGTCACTTTATATTTGTTTCTGTATATTAGGTAGCTCCATCTGTCTCCCAGTCTTGGTAGGTTGGCCTGTTCTGTGGAGCTCAGTGGTACAGTCTCCCTGATCACCTGAACTGGGTGCTCCAGTTATGTCTCTGGCATGGGTTATATGAGCTCTCCTGTTGTAGTTGACTCTTTATTGCTGTTGACCCATCTGTGCTTGGGGTTGACTCCCAGGTTGATTGACTGCTGCACATGATTGCAGGGGCAGACTTTTTCTACTTTCTACACCTCCTACCAGTTTTGATGTGACTTCTTTTGTATATCTTTAGTTATAAGACTTCTGTTCAGCTAGTCTTCAGATGGTTATCCAGGTTGATTGTTTTATAATTTAGTTGTAATTTTGATGGGTATAACTTCCACCTAATCCACTATCTTGGATCCTCTTCCTTAAGTCTCTCCAATTTTAAAAATAACTACAACCAAAACCCTTTTGCAGCCCTGCAAATAAAAATGGGGAGATATTATCTCTGTTCTGCATCCCTTGTCAACTACTGTTCTATCAGTCTGCGTCCCTCACAGCCAAGCCTCTTAAGCATGGTCTACATTGTCTGTCTTCCCTCCTCACGTTTCATTCACAAAACAAAACATTGCAGTCTTGCTCCTACTCCCACCTATGAATTGCAGCTTCCCTTAGTAAACTCCTTGTTACTAAATGCTGTCTTACTTTGCTGAAATTTCATGCAGCATTTAAACCTTCTTAAAACTCTTCCTATTGTGAGCTACCAGGGTACCATTTCCTTGTGGTTCACTCCAACTGCCCTAGCTACTCTTTCCCAGCCTTCTTTGCTGTCTCCACTTCCCCCACCTCTCTCTTTGTTACAAGGTGGTTCTCTTAACCCTCCTTTTCTCCATGTTTACACAGTGTCCCTAGAGAATCTCACGTACTTCACTGGCCCCATGTTCTGGCTGGGACCTTTCTGATCAGGTCCAGGAATAAATGTCTCACTGCCTTGGGACAACTCATGTACAAAATCACTGGACTTTCCCACCTTCTTCCTCGAATGCTTTTCCTCCTCATTGTGGTCACTCTCTTGCTGAATGGCACTACCACACATTTCAGATCTACAGAGAATCTTTGAGGTCATCTTTGACCCCCACATCTAACAAGTATCAAAGGTCATTTGACTTAAACTTGTTAAGAATTTTGAATCCATCTCCTCCCCTCCATTACTGATACACCAGGGCTATTGCTTTATTTCAATTTGCTATCATCTTTCCCCAGGAACTCTGAAACTGCCTCCCAGGTGGTCTCCCCTCCTCCTGTCTTGCGTTCATCCAATCCTTTCTCCACACTGATACCAAAATGATCTTTCCAAAATTCAGAATGCAAATCTGATCAGTACACTTGCCTGCTTAGAATTCACCAGTGTCTCTACATTACTTTCAAAAGAAAACCCAAAGTCCTGTGTGACCATGAAAGGCTCTACAGGAAGTAGTCCTCCCTCCATCTCCAGTATCACTTCTCACAAACCTTGTTCTCATTCTCTGAGCCCTACCCACACTCACCACTTGCTTTTCCGCCTCTCCAGGAGACTCATGATTTCTCCTGAGGTTGCCATCAAGATGTTAGCCAGGGCTGAAGCCACATGAAGGTTTGACTGGGGCTGAAGGATGAACTTCTAAGGTGGTTCATACACATGGCTGGCAAGTGATGCTGGATGTTGATAGGAGGACTCAGTTTCCTCCTGTGGGTCTCTCAACAGGCTCCTTGAATGTCCTCACAACATGGCAGCTGGCTTTCCCCAGAGTGAGCAATAACTGAGGAGAGAGGGAGAGAGAGAGAGAGGGGAGATAGATAGATAGATAGATAGATAGATAGATAGATAGATAGATAGATAAATAGATAGATAGATGTCAGACGGAGGCCATTCTTTTGAGGATCTAGCCTTAGAAGACATATAGCATCACTTTGACCATATTTTTTTTCTTTAGATGCGAATAACTAAATGTAGCTCACACCCTAGAGGGAAGGGGAACATTAAGGGTTGACAGAAGAGGTGTCAAAGAATCTATAAATATATTTTAAATTGTCTACCACGGTGATAATGCAGAGCTGAATTTTTCTAGTTCATCCAGTTATAGAAAGTAGTCTAGACAGTGGAGAACATGAACTTTCCCGTGAATTCTGTGGCAGCTACAGGATCTCAAGTTAGATACCAATAGTGCTGGAGTTCTTGACAGAAGGGAGGCTGTGTGGCATTGATTTTTAAGTGAAGGGAGGTTTGTAATCAGATAAATCTAGATTTAATTGCTGACTCAGTCACTTACCAGCTGTGCAGCCTTAGGAATTGTACTTGTCTGCTCTGTGCCTCTGTGTTCTCATTGTATCATGCCATAAAAATAGCGTGGCTTCCTCAGAGGGTTATTGTAAGGATTAAATAAAATAATGTATGGAAAGTTAGTTAGCCAATGCCAGGCACTGTAAGTGCTCAGTTATATTAGTTAATGTTGATAATGTAAGTGTCCATCTGCATTTCTCAGATGACTGTAGTGGTGGGCATCCTGAGGAAGAAGAAACTAAATGACGTTTCAGGATCCTCACCAGGGAGAGTGGGAATTACTGCAAGTTCTTACTACCTGACCAGCTGACTGCCAAACTGCCCCTAGTTTACACGGACAAGGATATGATGGCCAGGCCCAAGGTGACCTCGATATTTGTAGTCATATGGAGACCGGCTCTTACTCATGTCTACTTTTCTTCAAGGTCAATTTTTTCATCTTCCTGAAAATTCTCAAGCTTCTCATTTCTAAACTCAAAGCCCATCAAATGTGCTTCAGAGATTATAAATACAGGTAAGTGGCCTGAGGTCAGTACCCAGTAGTGGAGGACCTCTTCTGGCTGTTTGGCTGATGTCCCGAGGGTGAGGGTGGGGTGGGGATGAGCTGCATTAGTGTGTTTATCTGCTAAGACAAGGGTATCAGGGTTACTCCCTCTGAAAAAGGTGTCATGGGATCGTTGAGGGCTTTGCCAGTGGTGAGGACTTTCTGGCCCCATGACACTGGAGGAAGTGCAGTGTGGCCAAGGGCACCCACAGTCCCCCACTAGGAAATGGTTAAAATGCTCCTAAGAATGGATGTCTTACAGGCCAGGGAAAGAGTCACATGAAGAGAAGTTAGATACTCGCCTACCTTCCGGAGGGTTTTGAGGTCACAGAATAAAAGACGTATTCTAACTCAGAAGAAAATATTTGAGTATTTTTGAAGCCTTGGGATACAGGACCCAAACTTTGGAGTCCAAGGCATCATGTTCTTCACATCACTCTATGTGACTCGCCTTTGCTGTGTCCCTTCTGCTTTCCACAGTGACAGTCGTCCCAGTTCACAGCAAGTCCGATCACAGGTGCTGGGATCTGCGTCACTGTAAACACAAATGAATGAACGAATGAATGAATGAATGAATGAATGAATGGCCTTGCAAGATCTTTCCTTCCTTTTCCAGTTACCCTTTCCTGTCTATGAGACACGTCCACTTCAGGAAGGCTCTTGACAAGGGAATGTTTTAACCCAAAAAGGTAGCTCTCAGGACCGGGATTTCGGTCCACATGGCAGGACAGGGGCAGAGGTGTGAGTGAGGATGACTATAGCTCTGTTCCTCACTCTTTCTAAGGCCAAAACAGGGTCTGACTGGTGTGCGGGACGGTAGTTTTTCCATCTATCTGACGAACATTTAACGAATGCCTGCGATGTGCCTGAAACTGTGCTGGGAACAAAAGGTCAATTCTGTGTGGAGCCTGTCTGCAAGGGGCACACGTCCTGACTTCCAAGGACTGGGATGTCGGTGTGGAATGCGAGTCAGGAGCACTGAAGCTGGCTGTGACCCCAGACTCACCGACTACCTTGGGCAAGTCACTTGGCCTTTCTGGGCCTGTTTTCTGGGGTGGAACGTGAGAGTCCACACCATTCTCACCTTCTCCTCGTTATGAGGATGAAAGGAGGTTATGGACATGGGTGACCCGTGCAATCAGATATGGTGAGTGGTATTTGCCCAGGGTTCAGACTCCAAGTCCTATCTCCCTAAAACCCTTCCTACAGCAGGTCAGAAGGATGAACACACATGGTTCAGGACCAGGAAAATATATTCTGTAGTTGGCCTACATATGTTGCAAACACCCCCAGCCCTGGGCCAGCCTGGACCACACCGAGCCCGCTGTCTCTCTTGGCGCCTCTGATTGAGCCTCCACGTGGCCGACAGTTTCGTTGGCTCTTTTCCCGAGGCTCGGCTCTCTTACCGCTCGCCGAGGGCGGAGGTCCAGGGCCAGAGCAGGGCTGCTCCGGTCATCCTGGGTGGTCCCCTCGGGGGGAGCAGTGCTCCCACTAACCAGGCTCACGGGAGACCCGGGCACCCTGGAAACTCAGCAGAGGGCAGCATGCCCAGAGGACAGCCACTTTCCCCCGAGACGGAGAGCCTGAACCCTGTTGTCTCGTACCGTGTCCTACTTGGTGTTCCGGTGCTCCGGGCCCACAGCGGCCCCTCCGAGAGCTTGCCATCCTGGCTGCTTCCGAGCATCTCCGGACAGCTGGCCCAAAGCACAGGCTGGTGAGCCCTCCACGGAGTGCCTGGCTCAGCGAGTGGGGGATGGAGTCCCGTCTCCGGGAGACTGTGATACCCAGCCAGAGGTGAGGACCGCTGGATCAGGTGCTCCGGAGAGACCAGGCATGGAATTTTCTGGTTGGGCCATGGCAAGTGTGTTCTAAGCAGCCTTGATATCCCTTTTCCAAGGTGTCCTTTAGAGTTATCCAAGGGAATGGTTTCCAAACTTTTCTGATCATGCATCTCTGTTAGCAAAGAAATTTTGCGCATGACCCTCATAGATACACAAGGTCTGCTGAACTGTTATATCCTTATAACACACACACAGACAGAGAATCATAGAGGATAAGATTAGTACACATAGAACTCCTGCTACCTTATTTTATTATATTTTCTTCTAATACCAAATGGATCACCTTGCACAGCACTGGAGTGGGAAGCCCACTGGGAGCCAAGGATCTGGACAGTGTAAATAAGGATCCTGGGGAGAACCTCATGGCTGAACCGTGATTTCAAATGGTTATTTTGAGGAGAGAGAGTAACCCTGCCCGACGTACACGATGTGTCTGAAAACCTCTCCCCTCCCCTTTGTATGAGGAAAAAGCTTGAAAAGAGGAACGTGGGTACATGCCTACCTGGAGGCCTCCCAGGATGAGGCACCTCACCTTGGCAAGTTTGCCACCACCTGGGGACTGTACTGGGGACCTATGAGTGTTCCCGAGTGGCTGAGCCTTTTGCAGGGCTGACTAAAGCCAAGTGAACTCACAACAGGCTAATATATAAACCAACCATGCTATATGACTATTCATTCTTAGAGACTCTGGAAGGTGGGGATGGGGTGGGGGCCCCCTCCAGTGCCCCCAGTCTTTGCAAAGTTGACACCAGAAGACCCAGAAACACATGGCGGTCACTAGAGTGTTTAAGGTGATCACGCCATCCAAGTAGAGTGATTGGCGACCAAGGTCCCTGAGGGTGGCCTGAGAAACCACCGCCGCCCTGTAGTTCCACCTGCCTGGTGCCCCAGTCTCCACCGGTAGAGCCGGATACACACTGAGAACGTCCTGCTTTGTCGGTGATATTTCCTGCCATTCTGGTTGGCTATCTGCTTTCTGTTTACTGACCCTTTCAACTGCAGAGTACAATGAAATTAATTAGCTTATGCTTATTTTTTAAAAAAATCCTCACTCGAGGATATGTTTCCATTTATCTTCAGATAGAGTGAGAGGGAGAGGGAGAGAGAGAGAGAGAGAGAGAGAGAGAGAGAGAGAGAGAAACATCGATGTGAGAGAGACACATCCATTGGGTACCTCTCGTACGACCCTAACCAGGGCGGGGGACTGAACCGAGGTACATCACTTTGACTGGAATCGATCCTGCAACTCTGGTCTGCAGGCCGACACTCCAACCATTGAGCCAAATTGGCCAGGACAGCTTATGCTTATTAATTAGCAAAAATCAGGAGCCTGTCTCTAGGACACACCCAAGCCGCCTTATTTTTGCCCTGGGCTGGTGAATCCTACAGCAGCGATGAGCACATTTGCCCACTTTTCTCTCCAAACAGTGTAACTCTCTCATTTCCAAATTCTGGGAGGGCTGCTTCCCATCACCCCCATGGATCATCAGTGCCCCCAGCTCACGCTGCCCTCTTCCACACTGGAAGATTCTCCCCTTCCCCCCTTCCCATCCATGTTTGATTTCCGGTAGAGCCCTCTGCTGGGTAAGGAGAAGCGGGGGCCACAGGGCATTTTCGTACCAACTTCGGTAGGAACAGTCCGGCCTCCAACTTTCCCAGATTTTGAGAACTTTCAGAACATAACTCTCAAGATTTGGTCCCCCTCCAGGAGTCTATTTTAGGAAAGTCTCAATTAAACACATGTAAACCTTGCTGAAGAGGCAAGTTGCTGGGACCTGGAGAACTTTCTGTCGCCCCAGCTCATGTCAAGGCTTCTCCTGTTCAAGTGGAGGGACTGAACCAGCCCATCTGTCTGGCCCGGAGAGGGAGAGCTGAGCCACGCCCGAGGGACCGCAAGGGCCCTGGCATGTGGGCGGACACCCACCGCCCTTGGCATGGCCGGAGATCCCTGTTCTTTGTGGTTTCAGCTGGAGGTGGTCCGCGTGATGCGTGGGGCACAGCTCTTAATGAGTTTATAAAGGAGAATCATTTCTTAGGCTAAGCCCCAGAGCCCTTTCTAAAAGGACTTGCTGATGGGCAATCAAAGATGAAAAATGTCACAAATAGAAGCAGAGCTGATTCAAGTCAGCGAGGCTGTAAGCAGCTTGAGGGCAGAGAAGGCGTCTTTAGAAACAGGGAGAGCTAAATTCGAGTGACCGTTCATCATGGATCAGATGCCATTTATTCTGAGGGTTTTCCATGTGCATCCTTATGATGACACTGTCAGGTATTATTGTTAGTAATATTTTATTTGTATTCCGGTATTTTATATTATATCATTATTTGGATTATCCTCCTTTTACTGAAAAAATGTTTAAATAATTTGCCCAAGGCCACACTGCTAGCAATGGGCAGCTCTGGGATTTGAACCCAGGCCCCAGATACTTGACTGCCGCTGCCCCCAGCTCCTCCTCTCCCGCTCTCCTGGCTCAGGTGCCACAGCAGATGTAATTATTTATTGAATAGCTAAGTGATTGCAATAAACTAAGCTGGGTTCCAAAAAGATTTTTCCTTGACTTTAAAGAGCGGGGAAGGGAAGAGAGAGAGAGAGAGAGAAACACTGATGTGACAGTGGCACAGCGATCGGCTGCCTCCTGCACTCTTCCTCCCCGAGATGGAGCCCACAGCCCAGGCACGTGCCCTGACCGGAATCCAACCGGCAGTCGTTTGGTGCACGGGACGACACCCAGCCCCCTGAGCCACCCTGGCCGGGGCCAACCAAGTCATGTAAATAAACAAATGATTGAACATGAAAAACAAGCATAAACCCAGTTCGTAATAGTAAACTGCTCTAGATAGTTATGGATTTTTGCCCGAACAGGAACACAAATAGTGCTTTGTCCAAGGAGAAGTTAGAATGAGGTAAGGAGCAGGAAATCCCTTCTGACATCCATCCCAAGGTGTGGCCGGGACTAAAATGGCCAACAACTTGAGGGAAAGGTGGTCACTCTTTGAAAATCATCCCATACTAAATGTAGGAGCAGGAACAAAAAAAACTGCTGAAATTCTAATAAAGTCTGGACTGTAGCTATTAGTCCATACCGATGTTGGTTTCTCAGCTTCGACAAGTGTGCCATGATGATGTAAGATTTCAACGTGAGGGGAAACAGAGTGAAGGGTATCTGGGAACTCTCTGTACTCTCTTGGCTACTTTTCTACACATCTACAATTATTCTGAAATAAAAGTTTTATTTAAAAAGCACAAGGCCACGGCAGGGCCCTAAGAATAAGTTGATGGGGAGACACGGGTTCGAGTGCAATAATGTGACCCAGAGCAAGTGTCCCAGACTCCAGCACATGAGAGGGCCCAGCAAGCAGGTTAGGGGTTGGAAAGTCACCGCCAAGCTGTAGCTGATGGTTGCCAAGCAAGAATCTGGGCCTGATCTTCCCATTTATCAAAGGAAGCTGGAAATCTGAACGTCATTGCTTAAAATCTCATCATTTAAAGATGGCTTCAATAACAAAAATCGCTTCCTAGCAGAAGCAGAAAATGTCTGGAGGTCAAATACAACGCATGTATCCATTCTGCAACCTCCAAGCTAGAGAGTTTTAAAACACTCCTGGAAATGAAAAACAACAACGAAAAACCTCTTGAAATAGACTCTCCTTGGGAGCACCTTCCGGTTGCTTAGCTAAGTGACTGGTGTGTGGGTGGATCTGCAAGGAGAGGTACTCCTGAGCTCGGCTCAGGCAAACCACATAACCAGGGCCTGTGTCTCAGACTCCTACTCCTTGGCCTCTCCTTGATGGTCGAGACTGTGGGACGTGCAGTCCACGTGCCTGGGTGGAGTCCCTCTTTCTTGGTGACTCCTGTTCAGCTCTTGCTGGCTTTAGGTGCTTTTAGGCACAAAGGTGAGCTGTTCTGTTTCCTTGATCACGTTGTGTTTGAATGGCTCTCCCAGACACGGGAGTCACAGTAAGCTCTGCTTTCTCTCGGACAGTTACACCTTCCCGAAGATACTGCCCGTGAGCTGCTCACGACCCTCCATGTTTCTACATCTTTAATTACCTAGGGCTTGGGGAAAACCTCCCAGTCTAGCCCTTTAAGAAAGAGAGTTGGGCTAGAAAAAATCATTACAGTTAAGCTCTTTTTTTCCCAGTGTGTAAACAGCAGCTTGGTTTGTACCCTGAATATGGATCACCATTGCTAATAGTTTTAAATCAAGAAGCAGAGTAATGGTCAAGAGCCGTTGTTTCCAAAGGTGGATCCTTAAAAGTTCTCATTCCTGGGACCCAGACTCCAGAGGTTTGGATTCAGAGGATCGTCCCTGGGGCCAGGAAGAAGTGTATGTTTCTATGCACATATATGTATAGCTCTGTAAGGCTTTCCTAGTCAAACAGCCATATTTGGGGACCACAGGTACGCGAAACGGAATGTTGGGGCCCAGCTGTGCACTTTGCACGTGGGTGGTACAAAGGAATGTTTGTCTTTTTTGTGTAGAGTGTGTACAACAGGGAGCTTCCGCACAGCACTTGTTATGAGGAGGATCAGCTCCTCATTTCCTGTAGCCTTGGCCGCCACCAGGGTTGCGGGGTAGCATGGGGGCTGGAGGTGGAGCCCGCGTGTGAAGTCAGAAGCCTGCTTCCAGGCAGGTAGTTGGCGCTCAGTGGCTCTGTGACCCTGGGCAAGTGCTTTTCCCTCTTCTCAGGTTCAGTAGAGCACTGACCTTGGGAGTCCTGAATAGAGAAAGAGACGAGGAGCTGCAGCTAGCCAGGTCATAGGACATTTGCCAAACCTGGCAGAGGTGTAGTGCCCAAGGGTGATAGCCATGTGCGTGGAAATCTATCCATCAGGCAAAATGTAGGTATATCTGCAGGTGTATCATAATCTACATGGGGGAATTCATTTATTCATTTACTCATTCATTCATTCATTCATTCATTCATTCATGTTTTCTGAGAATTTGCCATGAGTCAGGTGTTCAGAGGCACCAGTGAACAAGACCACCCTGGCCCTTAAGGTATTCAATGTGTGACCAAGAAAGCGAACTGGAAAATAAACCGTTTATCAATATGGTAACAGCTCCAGGAAAGGCATGTTGAGAGGAACAGGGCATGTTGCCTGTTCCCAACGTGGCCCTCACGGTGGTTATCTGGTTGTCGTTGCAGATTGGCAAAATCAACGCTGGTTCTTATTCCTTTATTGGGTGTTCACGAGATTCTCTTCTCTTTTGTCACTGATGACCAAGTTCAAGGATATTCAAAACTCGTCCGACTCTTCGTTCAGTTGACGCTGAGCTCCTTCCACGTAAGTAGGCATCTGAACCAGAATGCCTTGGCTTTGTGAAAAACAGAATGCCCTGGATCCAAACAGACTCCAACCGAGAAAGCCCACAGATGGAAATGGGTTCTAGAATCGCCAGGCTTGTTCAGTGAGGGCCATGGCATCGGAAGGGTGTGCAGACAGAAGTGTTGCCTTGATCCTGCCAGCATGATACAGTGACTAAGAAGGGAAAAGTGGTCTGTTCCCTGGGCTGCCATGGTTGGTGTGACTCATGAACATATTAACTGTGAGTGTCAACACGAACCCTTCTATTAAGTGCCTATTTTTGCTGGGTTCTCTGCAGAACACTGTGCAAAATGAATGTTGTGTATACTTCAGGTGACATACTTAGAACAAAACAAAACTTCGGCAGGGACCAATGAGTTGAGACCGGGAGGCTCTTGAACCTAAACAGATGTGTGGGGGCTGAAACAAGAAATTGAAGGCCAGCTGTGGTTAATTTACCAGGGTATTTTCATTATTCATTGCTTGAATTGTTACCCACTACTCAGTAGCTTACAATGACAACAATGATAGTTATTCTCGTGGTTCTGGGGATCCCAAATCCAGGTAGGATGCTACAAGGAAGGCTCACCTCTGCTCCGTGGGGTCTGCTGGGGCTGGAATCGCCACAGTGGCTTCTCCACTCATTGTCCGGGGCCCACACTGGAAAGGCTCGAAAGGCTAGGGCTGGCTGGAGAGGCTCTATTTGGGTCAAGTTTGTGGGGCTTCATTTCTCACTGTCACCCACCTTCCTCAGTCCCACACAGTCTTAGGGCTGTGCACCCGCTGCATGTTCTCTCCCCATAGTTTCTCTGACAGGGCAGCTGCATTTCTTACATGACAGTTCTGGGCTCCCAGAGCACAGAAGCAGAAGCTTCCAGGCGTTCTAAGTGCCTGGGCCTGGAACTTGCACAGTGATACTACTAGTGCGTTCTACTAGCTAAAGCGCGTCACAGACCCAGCCTGGACCGCAGGGGAGGAGACTGCAGGTGGCACGGCAACTGGGAGGCATGGCTCACCAGCAAAGGCCACAGTGCAAAGACTACCACGGTCAGTGTGGCTACACGAAAGCCCCGTACAGTAGTAACATTGGAATTAATACTCTTAAAATGCTCGCAGAAGAGCAGGGTTTCCAGAATGGAGAAGAGAGGAGCTTGGCAAGTCCTGTCTGCAGGAAGCAAATGTAAAATTGGATGAAATTGTCAATAACATCCGTTTCAGGACCCTAGAAATCAACCTAAGGCATACACAAGATTGAGAGGGGTTTATTCAAGAACATTACTGAGAACCTGAGTAAGAGCAGTAGGAATCCGTGTTGCTTTTTCCTGAGTCTGTGCTTGTCCTCCAACCCCTCCTCCATCAATGAGCTAATGCTAGTGAAAACCAGCAGCTTTGCTGAAGAAAGGGGCTGACTTGATACCGCTCTCGTAAAAAGCCCATACCCCTGGGCATGGTCAGAGAGTAACGATCTTAGTGTCAAAGGAACAAGGAAAGACAATGTCACAGCCTGAGGCAGTCACCTGAGTTGGGTCAAAGAGGCAGAGTACGGTAGCAGAAGAAAGCATCAGTGAACTTGAAGAAAGTTCAATTATGATTACCCAGTCTAAGAAACAGGGGGGAAAATTGAAGAAAAATAACAGAGCTTCAGATATTTGTGGACCTCCATCAAGAAATTCAACATACACATATTGAGAATCCCAAAAGGAGAAGGGAGATTAAAAAAAAGTTAGAAAAATCATTTGGAGAAATGATGGTTGAAAACACCCCAAATTCGATGAAATATATTACTCTAGGCCATTCAGGAAGCTCACTGAGCTCCAAATAGGACGACACAGAGAGATTCACATCTAGAAACAGTGAAGTTAAACTGTTAGAGGCCAAATACAAAGAGAAAATCCTGAAAGTAACGAGAGAACGACTCATTACGCACGGGAACAAGAACACGACAGCGGCTGGCTCAGAAGCACTGGCGGCCAGAGAGCAGTGGGCCAACACGCTGAGAAAAGTCATGTGATCATTATGTTTCCAAATTAAGGCAAAGACATAAATAAACAAAAACTGAGATAATTTATTGCTAGCAAACCCTCCTCAAGAGAAGCATCAAGGGAAGTCTGTCAGGCTGAAAGAAAATGACAGTAATCGATAAGTCAATTCCACATTAAGAAATAAAAAGCACACCCTGGCTGGTTTGGCTCAGTGGTTAGAGCGTCAGCCCATGGACCAAAGGGTCCCGGGTTTGATTCCAGCCTGCACCTCAATTGAGATTTGTCCCCGGCCCTGGTTGGGGTCGTGTGGGTGGCAACCACTTAATGTCTCTTTCTCTCTCCCTCTCTCTCCCTCCCACTCTGTCTGAAGATAAATGTGAAAATATCCTCGGGTCAGGATTAAAAAATAATAAAAATAAAAGAAAGAAAAAGTACTGGAAAAGATAAACACATAGGTAAATAGGAATGATATAAATATATAGGTTCATCTTTTATTGAACTGATTTTAAAGGCATAAGATCACATAAAATAATTATAAACTCTATTGCTGGCTTAAGCTGTATTATATAAAGAACTAACATGATAATAGCAGCACAAAGGAACAAGGAGGACACGGAGCTGTATTGGAGAAACATTTCTATATTAAACCAGAATTGTTAGTATTAATATGAAATAGATTATGATAAGTTGAGATGCATGTAGTAATTTCTGGTACAAACAGCAGGAACATAACTCAAAAGCTATAGTAAGAAGACGAGCAGAGGAATTAAAATGGTACACTAGAAAATATCTGTCTACTCCCAAACACTTTCTCTATTTAAAAAAAAAATTTCTTTATTGATTTTATTGAGAGAAGAAAGGAGAGGGAGAAAGATATAAAAACATCGATGAGAGAGAACATCAATTGGCCGCCTTCTGCATGCCCCCACTGGAGATTTGACCCACAACCTGGGCATGTGCCCTGACTGGGAATCGAACCAGTGACCTCATGGTGCATGGGTCGACACTCAACCACTGACCACACCGTCCAGGCTACGCCCAAACACTTTCAATGTCATTGAATCCTCACGTTATCTTGTGAGGGGGAAATTATTATACCATTTCAAATATGAAGGAACTGAGACTCAGAAGAGAACTTGCAAATACTAATAAGGGCCAGATATGAGATTTGTAGGCAGAGGTTAAGCCCTGGCTTGTAACTATAATGCCATCGTGCCCCTCAGGTGCCCGTGAGGGTCAGAACCAGGAGACACCCGATTCCCTATGTCAGGTCTGCGAGTCTGTGCAGAGTGGAGACCGTGTGCCTCCCCACTGCGCACTCACGGTAGGCCCAGGGCGCAGGCCGGAGGGGTGGTCTGAGCAGCTGGGCAATGGCTCTTTCCCCTCCTGGTGGAGCTGAATCTTGTGTGGCTTTGAACTGAGACAGAGGACCAATCAGTAACATTTTTTCATCATGAAACCATGTTCAATTTATGTCCATCGTTTGGGAAATTTCCAAAGCGAAGGTTTAGTAATTTGGGTTTCCTATGTTGCTTGGTCTAAATCTTCTTTAAAAGGTAATCCCAAATTAGAAAAAAGAAAAACACAACAAAAAGCTGCAGCTGTGACATCAGTCGTATTTGGTGGCCCTTTTCAGCCTAAGGGACAGATTTCTGAGAAGGAATTCTCGCCTATCATACTGCCCAGGCAAGGGAGCACCTATTGCTATGCAATGAGCTACTCCGACACTTCACGGCTGAAAGCAGTAATCATGTTGTTATCTCTACTGACTCCATGAACTGGGCTGTCTGGACTCAGCAGGATGGTAATTTTTGGCTGGGGCTGCAAACATCTGAAGGCTCAGTTGGGCTGGAACATCCGAGATGGCTCATTCGCCTGACTAGACGTTGACCTGGGCTGTTGGCTGAGCTCAGCTGAGGTTCTCAATCAGAGAGCCTCTGCCCTCCTCTACGTGGCTTCTCCGTGTATCTTGAGCATCTCCCACCATGGCAGCTGGACTCTTGGAGCATCCCAAGAGCAAATGTTCTAAGAGAGAGAAAATAAAAACTTTCAACCTTCTTGAGGCATGGCTCAGCAGTCCCGGAGTGTCACTTTTACCACGTTGTATTGGTAGAAGGAGTCACAAGTTCATTCCAGATTCAAGGGAAAAATAAGGTCCACCTCTTGATGTGAGGAGTAGCCTATGCCTACAGGGAGGGGAGGAACTGTTGGGGCCATTTCTGGAGACAAACTGCCACACTGGATCATTTGGTTCTACAGCCAGACAGAGCCCTGCTTGCCTCTGTGCAACACTGAGGAGCGTGAGCAATCAGGGTGGCTCTGCAGATGGAGCCAGAAAACACACCTGGAGGGCTCGTGCATGGTCAGAGACCCCTACACTGTTCCCCCCCGTCCCGCCAGGCACAGGTGAGAATGTGGGTGGGCAGATGCATGGTGCATATCAGGTGGGTCATATCGCAGTGAATCAGAAGGAATCAGCTTTGGATCGAACAGCTGCCTCACTTGCTGCTTTGCTGAGTCCTTCACTCTTCCAAGGGCTTATTGCTTAGTGATTCTCACCGGCTTCCTGCCATCAGGGAATCTTCGGAGAGACTGCCACGCGGTGGTGATGCATGTTCCGTGGGAACCTGTCCCTTCACACTTGCTTTATCTAGAATGAGACTCCAGGATGCTCCTGAAATAATGAATCAAGAACCCAAGGGAATGAAAGACAGGTTTGTGAGGGGGAATCCTATTTTAGTGCACTCGTTTATGAGAATTCTGGCACACTCTCAGCCACCCTTCCAAGACCACGTGCCTGGAGGCAAATACCACCGGCCCTGCCAACTATGCAGGGCACCTGTGAACCTCAATGAGCGTGCGTGTGTGCAATGATTAACTGGTACCACCATGCCCCTGTCTGGGAGCTATCGCCTTGGGCTATCTAGCCACGTCAGAGGAGAAGAATTCCACGCTGGTGGGGAGAATGCAAACATTTGATTGATGCTGTGGCAGCCAGCAGGAGGATACCTGGCTTCCATGAGCACAAAAATCTACCTCAGGGCAGCAACATTGTATCATTCCTTCTCAATTTCATCTTTTTTTTTTTTTTTGAACCAGTACTGAACCTCCCTTATCAGTGACAGGGCTGAGGGAACTATGCTTAGAAGTGGGAGACTCAGCCTGCCCTGTGACCTTTGCGGTGGAATGTGTGTTGGCCTTGTGAATGCTGGCACTTTAAGAGCTCCTTCCTGCAAACTCTGCAGGGGTGGGTCCAGTGCCCACAGCCAGCTTCCTGGATCAGACGGCGCCCGAGTCCCACGGCCTCGTGGCACAGGGAGGACCGCGGCATGTAGGTTATAGCACGTGGCTGTTCCACAGATCAGGAAGTGTCGGCATCTGGATAAACAGTGGAAACGCACTGTCACTCAAGCATCTTTGAGTCCGGACCTCTGGCAGTTAAGCAGTGAATGCAGAAAACATTTGCAGTGTCAAGAAACGATCCTTTTACTGAAACTTCTCCGACACAAATACCTTATAATTGAAAAGACCAGAGAAGGGAGCTAGTCTTGTGTGTGTGTGTGTGTGTGTTAGGGACAGATGATAAACACATTGACAAATAAATAGTATAATTCTGGTGTCATAAAAAATATAAATATAAAACAGAGTACGGTAATAGTGACTAGCATGGCCACGAACAACCCGTGGTCAGGAAAGACCTCTCTTTGAAGTGATAGTTGAGCTAAAACCTGACTTTTGAGAAGTAAGTTAGGCAGAGATTTGAAAGAAGAATGATTCAGGAAATAAAGTGCAGGGACCCGAGGAAGAACTCGGCTCTGGTAGCCGGTCTCCCGTGATCTTTAGCTCCTGGTACTTGAGGCTTTGGGTAGCCCTCTCACACACTGAATAAGGGTGACGTGTGTGATCATTAAAGTAGTGCAGACACGAAGGGACGTGCCTTTTCAGGGCAGGTCATACAGGGGTTGTGGCTTCTGCCTTGCTCCCTCGAATGCACCCCCTGGGGGAAGCCAGCTGCCATGTCATGAGGATGCTCAAGCAGTTCTGTGCAGACAGAGGCCAGCCACCGACAACCAGCGCCAACCTGCCAGGCACACGGGCCGCTGTGAAACAAGTCATGCCTTCCGATGACCGGAGTTCCAACCAACCTCCCGACTGCAGCCTGAAAAACGACCCTGAGCCAGACCACCCCGCTAAGCCACTCCCAGATTCTTGGCCTGTAGAAAGCATGTGAGATGATAAATCTTTATTGTTGTGGTCCACTAAGTTATATAGCAACAGACAACTAATACCTGGGCTTGAGATGCCGGGGGAAGCCAGGAGGCCTGTGTGGCGGGAACACGGTGGCTGAGGGGAAGCGTGGTACGAGAAGTCAGTGACACACACAGCCCTCACCACCCTAGTGCCTTCTGTGATGAAATTTTAAGTGTGATGAGAAACCACTGGTGTGACATCACCTATCTTTTCAAAAGAAATATTTTGGCAAGTGAAAGGGATAGTTACTATCTCACATAAATGAAGAGGTCGGCATCAGGCATGGCTGGATCCAGGTACTCCAACAATATCCTCAGAATTCTGCCTTTCACCCTCTCCAGCCTCCGCTATTCTCTCTGCCGGCATCATTCTCAGATGGGCTTTCACCATGTCGCTGGCAAGATGCCCAGAAGTATCTCCAGGCGTATACTGACTACAGAGCTGGCAAATCTAGGGAAGAAAGTACAACCTCTCTTCTTTCCCAGTGGGAAGAACTCAGAGGGGCCCCGCTTGGGGCACATGACCATGTGGGCTGATTATATTGTGGTGATGGCCATCCTAGCACACAGGGACCACATGACCGACCCTGACAAAGCCTAGGGAGTGGAGGAAGGTCAGCTTCCAGAAGGAAAGGATCCAAGTAAGGCAAACAAACAAACAAACAAAAATCTAGCCAATGCCACTAAGGACAAACAGACATGGGACAGCGACTTGCACAGTCTTCGTATAGTTGAATGAATGATTTAATCATCACTGGCCTATGAGCACCTAAGCAAACACCCAGGCCTGGTGGGTGTCAGAGGAAGAAGAGACCTCATGGAGATCCAAGTTACCCAGGGTGACTGGCTCTAGGCGGTGCAGACCGGGTCGTTGCCTGCCTGTGCCGGGGACAGCGGACTAGGGCAGGCCTTGGGACTTTCCACGTAACTCTGACACCTCTTCTACCGAATCCGAGTTCACGCCACCTCTTCTTTTCGTTCCAGGGACTACTTGTGGCCTTGCAGTACTGTTTTGCCAATGGAGAGGTATGTTTTCCGTGCTGCCAGCTCAGCTTCCTGCGAGGCTGGGCTGGCATCCACCGCCCTCCAGGGTTTCCGTGTGTGTGATGGTGCCACGGGGGGTGTGCAGCGACCATCATGCAGCAGGGAAAATGTGTCCTGCGAGCTTCCAAGGGTGAGAGCAGGAGGCAGTGTATAGAAATGGGATGAGGGGACGGGACGAGTGTAAGGAAGCGCAGACCCCTCCTCTGGCCCTGCTGGAGATGTGTTGGGGGTGTGAGTGTGATAGGAAAAAGCTTGAACTTTGGAGACCAAAAATCTGGACTCGATCCGCCACTCACCCACTTAGGAGCTCCCAGTTAGGTCACTGTGGCTCTTTGAGCCTCAGTTTCCTCTTCTGTAGAGTGGGAATAGTAACCGTCCCTGTCCTCTAATGTTGCCCTGGGTATGCCGGGCTCACGGTAGAGGCCCGGTACCTGGGAACTATGATTATTTTTAGTATTAATATTATTGCATATCCCCAACCAGCTCTCTGCTCCTCTGGAAAGAGGCTTGAAAGGGGCAGGGGCAGAGGCCAGAACAGTTTCTCCTGCCCTTAGAGTTGGAGGAATTTCCGGTCCCCTCTCATTGTCCCCTTCTCGGGTTTAAATATTTATTTCCGTCTCCTCCCACTAGAATGTAAGCTTCTTGACGGCAAACTTTCTTCCATCATGCTCACGGCTGCTCCTTCTGTATCTTCATCCGTCAGGCAGGCTCAAAATGCCACCTCGACAGTCCTTTCTTTTCCTTTCAACCGCGTCCCAAATCTCTGTCTCCTTCCCCATGTCCTGCTCCATGGACTCCCAGCGTCACTCCCGTCTGCTAGGCTCAGGGTGTTCCTCCTCTTTGTTCACCTGCGCCAGTTTGAAGATGAGCTTCCCGAGGGGGCACAGAGTAGCCACTCAGTACGTAAGGTGAGTGGGACCCGTGCCCAGTGCCCCCGACAGCAGCCCGCTCTCTCCTCGCCGGCAGGTGAAGGCCGAGCTGCGGAAGCACTGGGCCCGCTTCCTGCTGGCCCACCACTCGGGCTGCAGAGCCTGCGTCCTGGAGAAGAACTTCCGATTCCTGGGCAAGTGTCCCAAGCAGCTGTCCAGGGGAGGCGGAGCCCGGACGCTGCAGAGGCCGCAGTCCGCGCCCGGCAGGGGCCCGCTCCTGCAGCTCACCGTGCAGCGCCCCGGGGAGCCGGGCGCCCGGGCCCCCCCGGGCCGCGCAGCCTGGCGCTGGGGCAGCAGGCTGTCGGAGAGCAGCGAGGGGGACTTCACCCTGGCCCACACCACGGAGGAGGTCCTGGAGGAGAGCGAGATGTAGGCCGGGAGGAGGCGCAGGCCAAGGCGGGCGGGGCCGCAGGGCGCGGTCCTTCCTCTTCCTGCGCCGTTGGTCCACCTTGACAGCAGCGTGTGGGGGTCCCTCGTGCTCTGATGAGGCTGCGCAAACACTCACGGCCTGTCATCTGCTAACCCCGCTGGCGTGTTTCCCAGGACCACCAGCCTCTGGGGCGGGCCTGAGATTCAAGTGCAGGGAGCCCCACGGTACAGAGACGCCTGCTGTGAAAGGGGGGGCAGCCAGTGTCTCTTCCTCTGCCCCTCGTGGCACAGGGTTTCCCTCTGAGGCTGGGTTCAGGGGCTCAAGGGCCACCCGGGAAGTGTTTTTCGTGCAGAGTTCAACAGGCAGATTCTAAGAGAGCGCGTCTGGAACACCGGCCGCTGACGGGAGCGGAGTGCCGGCATCCAGGCGGATTCTGATGCAAGCCGGCTGGGCGGGCGCTGGCGGCCCCGGGCTGGCCAGGGGTGGGCAAAGCTGGCGATGTTCTGAATTCGGCAGTTCAGCTGTGACACGTCCGCCCTCCTCAGGCAGCGTGGAACCCCATGCCGCCCGCAGAGCCCCATTCCTTTCCCTGTCGAGTCCTGCCTCTCTCCCTCTCCATCTTCATCCATGGCCGGCAGACGTTCTATCTGATTCCGCCTCCCTCTCAGGGTGGGCCCAGCTCCAGGGGCCCCTCTGAAAGAGACCATTGGTTCCTTCCTCCCCTTGGGCTCCGCCTGCCTTTCTGAGCTTGGCTTCTTCAGGCCTTGCTCGTCCTGCATCCTCTGTCGTTGTTGGTTTGCCACTGACACCTTGGTGCTCCAGGTTTGCCCACCGCCCTCCCTGACCGAGTGTCCGCTCCGCATGTGGGAATGGATGCTGGCGGGTGGAGGGATAGGACTGGGCTGACCTGCCGTGCCCAGGGTGGTGCTGAGAGGGCCCGGCCTGTGGCACTCATTCTGCCCAGGAGGGACGAGCTGTGCTCCAGAGGCTGAGAAGAGGTCATTCGGGAGGCTGAGGAGGGCCCACAGTTAGGGCCTGTCTCCGCGGCTGACACTCCAAGGCAAGAAGCTGGAGGAAGATCAAAGGAGGAGCATCCTACGGACATGTCGCTTTTATAGCATGTAAAAGTGTCTGCGTATGTGGGACATGCATTATCTAAAATTCCGTTTTTATTGTTTTCACCTGGCAACTCTCTTTTCAAGGACACTGCGGTAGGACTGGGCCTAGAGGCACGGGAGGGTGTCACATTTAAGAGACTACTAAAAAAGCCTCAATTGTCGACTCCACAAACTACAGCCCACGGGCCATTATACAAATAGGTTTGATGGAAACCAGGGCTGGGGTGAGGGTGAGGAGAGTTAGGCCAGCTCATGGTCTGATCCTGGCTTTATTTAACATTTCAATATTGCTCATTATGCACTTTTTAACATTAATTTTATTTTTAAACGATGGCATTAAGATATTCCTGATTTTGGTTACTGAGTTTTTTGCCGTACCCCCCCCCCCCCCCTTCAATTTTGCGTCTGAGGCTGCTGCTCCCCTTGCCCTCGCCCTGGTCCTGGCTCTGCTTGGCAACAGGGGAGACCGAAGCAAAGGCCTAGGCAGGCATGGGACCGAGGCGTGGTCTTTGGTGTCCAGATTATCCATACTCCAATCATCAAATCGCATGTCCTTCTCGTTTTAATCTTTCTGCAAATGTCCCTGCCTCTTCTCTCTAGCCTGTTAGCTCCTAGAAGGCTGGGGCCATGCATTCCCGGCGTGCACCCAGCACAGCTGGTCCAGAGTAGGTGCTCAGCACACGTGCATTGAATGGACAAGACAGAACTGTCTCGGGAGCGTGAGACGCTGTCCGGGGCCAGTCACCCAGGACCCTGTCATTAACAGTATAGAAGGAAGTTGTATTTTTCATAATATTTGTAAATATGTCCCTCACCCCTCACTCCGCAAATGGGGTGGCACACCCACACTACTTCCTCTTGTCCTGCTAATAATTAAAATACGTTTATTTGATTGGAGTTGTATGTTGTTGGTTCTTTCACATTTGTTTCTCCCTGGAGCTGAAGGTCTCTCGTGCCCAAGAGGATCGGTGCACTGTGCCTGGCACGAAGGGACCTGATGGCCAAGCTGTGCGGATGCGAGACACCGAGGGGCACTGCACTAGAGGCTGGGACCCTGAGAGAGCAGGTGGCTTTAGGGGACGGGGCAGTTCGGCTTATTGTTCCTGACGCGACCCGTTTCTGCCTTTCAGTTTGCACGTACACGAGGAAGCAGAAATTCAGAGGTGGAGTGACTTCCCAAAGTCTCCTAGTAGACATCTGCTTTTCTAATTCATCCCTCGTATACCAATAGCACCCACGTTTTCCTCTTGGAAACCACACAGCTCCCACTCCCGGTCCCATGAGCTGCAGGGAAGGCCTGGTGTGGTCTGGCCCCAAATACATCTCAGGCTTGACTCGCTGTTGGCTGTCCCTCCTCCCTCTGCTCTGTGTGACCCTGGCCTCCTCACAGGAAATGCTCGTTCCTGCCTCAGGGTCTCTGCTGAGACCCAGTGCTTCCCCACCCCCACCATCAAGAGCGCCTTCTCTGACCTCTGGACAAGGCAGCCCATCCTGTTCCATCTCACGGTGCTTTGCACGTCTCCATGGTAACCTCCCCACTTACAAAGGCTGCGCCAGGTCTGCCGTCCCCTCTGCACCCTGTGCCCCGTGAGAGCAGGGCCGTGCCCACCTCCTTCACCCCAGAGTCCCAGCACCCTGGTGATGACTGCAATGACACCACACCCCCGCTTTTGAGGCTGAGCCCACAGAAATCATGTCCCTTTCCAGTTCAACAGTAACCAGCCGGCTGTGTGCCCAGAAACTCTCGAATTTATTGGAACCTGCTTAGCCAGCAATCCACAAAGGAGCTTATACAGGGGTGATAGTTAGGACTTCTGTGACCTAATCCTGGGATTATCCTGGGAGGCATGGCTGGTGAGCAGGGGAGGGGAGGTGGGTGGAACTGGACGGGCTCTAAAGGCAGGGGAGAAGGAGCCAGTAGATCGCTAAAGACACTTCCGTTTGGCAGGGACCGTGCTGTGGGTTTGGAGGCCTCTCTCTTGGCCCCTGGGGTGTGTTTGTGCGCACGAGTGTGTGTACACGCGCGTGTGTGCTCGTGTGTGCATGTGTGTGCGTGAGTGCATTTATGAGTGGTCGGGCGGCAGGAGAGCGGAGCAGTTGGCATCAGGCATTCTTTTCCTTTTCCTTTAACCTTTCCTTCACTTTTTGCGGCTCATATTGGATCAGTCGCAGAATTTCTTTATTGGCCAGGGTCCCCTCGATGAACTCTTCCTCTGTAAGTTTATCTGCGTATGGGAGGAAAACACGAGTCAGGATTAGCTGCTTCAAGCTGCGACGAGGCGGACGGCCGCCAGCGTGCTCTGTGCAGATGTAGCTGTTACGGAAACCTTGAGTCTTAGTGCCCCCAGGGCATGCCCACCCCCGCCCAGATACCCATCTTGTCCCCTGGACCGCCCCATGCCCAGCAGTGACCTCTCAGTGACTGACACTACTGAAGGGTCTAGGGTGCATTTCTGTGTTATGTTTCTCTTCTGACTGGCCAGTACCTCTGCTTTGCTGGTTATTAAATATTTTGAGTATTTTGGAAGAACTTTTGAGGGACGGAGAAAAGCAAAGAGAATTTCAGTTGAGAAGTAGGGAGCAGCATCCACTCCGGGAGTAAAAGTTAAGGGGTCCGGTTTGGTGCCAGGGAGAGCCTGCTTGTGAAGAGGTCTCTCTGACCCCCCCCAGCACATGGGCAGCCCCCTGATTCTCAGCTGACAGTTCTTCCATGGTTCTTCCTCATGCATCTCTGCGTCCCCCATCTCCTCCCCATGTGGGACCGAGAGGGAGCCTTGCCCACCGACTGCGTTCCGTTCTATCCAGGTAAATGCTTTCCACTAGCTTCGCTCTGCTCCAGAGCCACTGTGCTGGGGGCTGAGGTCCCTTCAGGGGCAGAGGGCAGGGTGAGGCACGGCAGGGAGTGACATAAGGTGCCTGGCCCAGGAAACTCCTGGTCTGGGGGGAAGACAGTCACCTGTGAATGACTCTGAAACGAGACAGGTGCTCTTTCAGATCGTGGCTACGCTCACTGCTGCTTGTGCAGTAGGTTCCAACAGAGCTCGGCTGAGCCGAACCGCACTTCCGTTCATGTATGTTCCGGGCCTTTGAACATCTTTAATCTGGATCTGCACTAGGACCAGGCTGGTTCCCTGCATGGGTCTAGGTGGCAAAGTGTGGGTTTTAAAGTCCCAGCTGCCCTATCGGCCCCACCTAGAGCTTGACACTGCCGCCGTCCGAGCCCAGTACCAGAGTCAGGCGCTATGTCCAAGTGGCCACGTGAGAGAAAACACACACGTCACGGGGCAGGAGCAGTACGTCAGCCCCTAACACCGCCACCTCCTGTGCAATCACCTGGGTCAGTTTTCAACTTAACAAGGAGCAGAGCAGGGTTCTCAGGGCATGGCAGACCCGGAGGGATGGCATGAAGGGGGCAAAGGGCCAGTAGGGGGAGGTGCCACAGGGAGTCATTTAAACAGCCAGGACAGGTGCTCAGAGGGGTGGGGAGATCAACAGGCACCTGGCCTCACTGAGCAGGTGCGCAGGCCACGCCAGCACAGGCACCGCGTGAGTGCCCCTTCGGTGCTGGGGCCGGGCACCTCGCTTCCTCACCGTCTTCTGGCCCTGCAGCCAATGACCTTCTCGCTTTTCTGACTTCCTCCTAGACTTGCAGATGAGTAGGGCCAGTGTCATTCGTACCTGTCCTTATTTAATGTCCTGCTGAGGCCTGTCCCCTGGAGCCCTGGTGAGAGGCTGCCCCCAGCAATCACAAAAGGGCCCAAACCGGCCCCTCAGATGTGTTTGGGTCATGCAGTATCCCATCATTTTGAGACACTCAGGTTTTAAAAGTCTCAGTTACTGGCTCCTCTCTTTAAAAACCATCAGGCGAGGCGCCGGTGGACTCGGCATTCCCGCGTGGAAGCCATCAAAGCAGATAGCCACTCTCCACTATTTGCCAGTCCCCAGAGTGGGACTACTGCCTACTTCTGTCACCTCCGTCCTCTGAGCCCCTGTGGCCACGTGAGTCTGTAGCACCCGCTGACATCACCTCCTCTACTATCCTTCCCACAATGGCCGTGAGCACCAGGCACCAGCAGCCCCGTGGCCCAGATCTGACACCATCACCGCCTTCCCGTGCAGGGCCACGCTCCTGGGGGCTGCTCCCAGGCGCAGACTGGACGGGGCAGGGGCGAGCTCCTGGAAGAAGGGGGCTTTGCCAGCCTTTCTGAGCCCCACCCTGCGGTCTAAGCCTTTTCCTACCCAGCCTCCCTCCTGGCCTCTCCGCCCACACTGGTCCCCTCTGCTTTGCAGTCCGATGGCTTTCCCGGCTTTCTCTAGATCTCCCCCCTCCCCTCGGAGGCCTTCTCCCCAGTAAGTCTCCCGCTGCCTAATTTAAATCTAAGCCCATCTGGCAGTGCTTCTGGGGGGACCCAAATTAACTTCCTAAGTAAAACCACGGACACTGAGATCCCACTTACTTGGGACTTGGTGCTGATCCCGACACCAACTGACATGCCCTGCCCTAACGGCCTAGGAAGCATTTTTGAAAATGAGCGAAGGAAACCTCAGTGTCTGCACTTAAACAGAAGGTGGTTTGTGTGCATTTGCATACAAACTTCTAACATGCTATCGCCTTTGCGTTTTACTCTTGTTTCCATGTGGGCTGACCCTGTTAAAACCAAAGGTGTTTTCCTTCAAAGCGCTCCACCATTCCGAGCCTTCCTGCTCCCCCAGGGACTCCCAGCAGCGATGGGGCTGGGATGTGGGGCCATTCCCAGCACAGCCGCAGCTCCAAGGGGCAGCAGGGCTGGCCCCTCCGGCCCCTCAGCCAGCCCTGCAGTGCATGGCGGGGCGAGGTGTCCCCGTCCTGCCCGGGCACTGGGACCGGGAAGGCTGAATTTCATCGGAACCAGCGGGAAGCGGCCATGGCTGTAAATCAAAGGCAAGGAGGGGGAGAGCATTCACCATCATCTTTCTTTCCGAAGAAGCCCCAGATCTTCTCAGCTCGCTTCTCTGGCGTGTTCTCATCATCCGGCAGGTGCTTCATGTCCTCGGGATTGATCATTTTGAAAATCGCCTGCACCAAAGCAAGAGCAACGACTCGTCAGAAGCAGCAGTAGGGGCCGGCAGCCTGGGGTTTCAGTGCAGGTCCTGGGCCCGGGCCCTGCTGAATCAAAGCTCCTGGGAGGCAGCTGTAGTTTGACATCTTCAGATGGGGTAGGGAACGTGGGGGAGGGGCGAAGACGGCTTTCGCTTCTTAGGGGTCCCTTTCTGTACTGTTTGAATTTCCTGGCCATGTAGACATTACTTTCATTTTATTTAAAAAAAATGAAAATAAGGGGGAAAAAAGCTTCCTGATGATAATTACCTTGAACCCTACAGCCCAGAATTTTAGAATATCTAATGGTTTCTTCCAGGGCCACGTGGTACCTGGTTGCCCAGCCGGGTCGGCTTATGGTAAGAAGGGCTAACATTTGTTGAGCACTTAACATGTGCCACAGTTCCAGCATTTTTACATGTAGCCTTCCCCAACCTTATGAGGTGGGCATTATCGACCCCATTTTACAGATGGAGAGACTGAGACAACTACCTTGCTGAGCGTCACCCAGCTCGTGGCGGATGAGCAGAGTCTAACCCAGGCACTTTGGTTTTAGTTTGCATCCCTCACCAGCTCACTCTCATGCCTTGGAGAGCATCCCAGTGGCTGGGGAGGGGAGAGAGGGGGCATCGACAAGGACTTTCCAAAGGTCTCCCCCAGGGCTCAGCAAGCCCCTCAGTTTACCCTTCCGCTCAGTCAGGGAGGGATTCAGAGAAAGGTTAAGCTTTAGACTCAAGGATCCTTCTCACCCCCCTCCACTCTCACTAATAAAGGAGGCTGATGTGCAGATGTGCGATGGGGAGGGGGAGGTTAAGCAGAAAGTGCCTCTGCACCTGTGACCAGGGAAAGGAACAGGTGGTCTCAATGTGCCCATCCAGCTCCAGGTTCCTGGGATCCCACCGGCTCAGTAGCTCCAGGGCTGGCCAGGTCCAGAGAGGACTCTCAAGGTCACGGTCCCTGAGCCTGTCTCAGCCTGGGCCCTCGGCCTTGGGGCAGGCTCAGGGTGCAGGCCGTGTGTTAGGTGGGAGTTAGGGGGGCCCTTGGAGACCCAGGAGCACAGCCAGGCAGGGGTAGTGATGCCTAAGAAATGAGCCCGGAGGGACGGTCAACTACTCTGAGAAGCACTCTTTCAGCCCTCCGTGCTGTAACGGGAGGAGCAAGAAAATCGCACCCAGCAGCTCGGGGTAGCAGCTCGGCTGGCAGCCCAGCCGTAGGTGACTCTGTGAACTGCTCTCTGTCCTGAGCCATGGGAAACATGTGCAGGCTTGATGGCTAGACACTGGGAAGAACTGGCTGCCTGCCCATCCTGCTTTTAACACCTAGGACAGACCGTCAAGCCTCCGCAAAAGGGCCGAGGAAGAACCATCGCATGCTCACCCGGGGCTCTGGGAGCTTACATGGTTTCCCATGAAGCTAGCTGGTGGCATAGCTGGGACTAGAATCCATAACTTCCGACTCCAAGGCTAGGGACCTAGTGATCTGGTGAAGGGCAAAGCCTTGGCACCACCATGCACAGCCTCAGCCATGGATGCTCCTCCCCCCTTCTCTCCCCGCCCCTTTCCCCTCCCTTCTCTTTCTTCCCTTTTCTCAATGACCACCACCTGTAGGCCTCTGCTGGGCCTGGCATCCTTTAGGTGGTTCTGAGGATGGGGTCTCCATCCCAGGCCACCTGCCAGTCCAGGGAAGTTTGATCTGAAGGCCCTGCCCAGATGCCAGAGAGGTCCCCGTGCATGCCTGCCCTTAACGGGAGGCCCGAGCAGAGCCCGCAGCCCCAGCTGCATGCTGGGCGGGTTTATTCATGGGGTGTCCTCGTACATAAGTGTGGAAGAATCGTGCAAATGAAAGCAGGATCACAAGTGTATGAAAATTACATAACATAGGAAAAACATTCTCCCTCTTAACAGGAATGAAATTAGAAAAATAAAGCAAGTGGCATGAGGTAGAGGGCTAAAAAGATACTAAATGAAGGTAAATATAAATAATATAATAGGAAAAATAGAAACATCCCAATTGTCCAAAAGATAGGAATGATTAAATAATTTTGTGATATTTCCACAGATGAAATTCTTAGCAGCTATTAAAAATGGCTTTGAAGAATAGATACAGTGATATGAAAAACATTCCTAATAAAATAGTAACTGAAAAAGGTATAAAAATCGTATATGAATATTGTATAGTTTAAAAAATTTTAAACGTATAGCTAAAAGGCTGGAAATGTCTATACCAATATGTTGACAGTTTACTCTGGATGGTGGAATTCGAGGTAATTTTAATTTTCGATCGCAAAAGTTTCTAAATTTCATGAAGTACGTTTACGGTGAATAAACTAACATCTTCAGAAGGAAGGATGTGTTGTGGGGCCAGCAGGACAGCGGTGGAGCACATGCTGAGAAGCTGGGGCCGAGAGGGGCCGAGGAGCGGGGTGCAGCCCAGAACACACCGCGGGAAAGCCAGGCTCCCGGGTGAAGTGCTAGGACAGTCAACACTAGAACCCAGATGTCGCAGCCCGACTCTGGCTTCTTTCTCTTCCTATTGTGTATTTGAAACAGGTTATGGAATCTGAATATGTTCAGTTGAAGGTTTTGAAGACATCTTAATGAACAAAGGAAGAAGGGAGGGAGGGAAAAAGGGAAGGAAGAAGGAAGGAGAGAAGGAAACAAAAAAATGTAAATAAAAGGAAATACCAGATCCTTTCTAAAGAGGAAAATGAAGCTCGGACTTCTGTCAATATCAGTAGATGAGAGACCCCTCCCCACGCTCTCGGAGCCACCGAGTCACAAGCCGGGACCCCGCCCCGCCCCGCCCCCCAGCGCACAGGCAGCAGGTGCGGGCCCTGACCCCGGCGACCCCAGGCTGGCCCAGGAAGGGGGAGGGGCGCCGACACTGACCCTGACGATCTCCAGCACCTCGCTCTTGCTGATGGCCCCGTTGCCGTCCACGTCGTAGAGGGAGAAGGCCCACTCCAGCTTCTGGCTGGGCTTGCCCGCCGTGGTCATGTGCAGGGCGACGACGTACTCCTTGAAGTCCAGGGTGCCGTCGCTGTTGGCGTCGAAGCTGCGGAACACGTGCTCGGCGTAGGCCTGGGGGTCCGAGTCGGGGAAGAACTTGGCGTAGATGCCCTGGAACTGCTGCCGCGTGATGCGGCCGCTGGGGCACTCCTTCAGGAAGGACTGGTACCAGGCGCACAGCTCCTGCTCCGTGAACGTGGTGTTCAGCTGCAGCTCCTCCAGGATCTCCCTGGACAGCGTCCCGCTCTTGCTGTTCCCCATGGGTGAGGCGTGGGCCCGGCCGGGGGTCCCCGCTGGGTCGGAAGGTGCGTGGGAGCGACGTGGTCTCCCTGCCGCTGCCGACAGCCGACGCCGAGGTGCTGGCGGATTAGGAGGATTTGCGGCAGGTTCGCCCAGTACTTGGAAGGAGGAGGGGCCAGGAGCTTGGAGGTGCAGACACGTTCCCAGAACCCCCCTGAGATTAAAATAAAGAGCTGACAGCAGGTGGTCAATCCATTTTGGCCTTCTGGGAGGACAGGGCAGGAGGTCAGAACCTTCAGAGCCCAAGCCTTGGGGCAGGGCCTGCCCACTGCCCCGTTCATCCCTCGCCCACCCCCAACTCCAGCCCTCTGAGAGCGTGATGTTCATGGCCTGGCCTGGCCAGCCCTGACTCTGGGGGTCTCATCTTTCCCTGAGCCCTACAATGCAGGGGTGAGGGGCCAGGCTCTGGAGACCACTTGGGTTCAAATCCCAACTTTGCAATTTATAAGCAGTGTGACCCCAGCGACCTCTAACCTCTCTCTGTCTAGCGGGCTCTCCTAACCCTTCACCTCCTCCATGCTTTCCTCCAACGTGCCCTTCTCAGCAAGGCCTGCACCGTCACTCTAGTTCCAGCTGCACACCTCACCCCAACCAGACCGTTTGTCCTGCTCTACTTTGCTCCCTGCCCTGTACACCTTCGGACTCCTATTTACTCACTCCTGGTGCTGGCTGTACCCTCATCGGCGGGAAAGCTCCAGAAGTGAGGATCTGTCTGTTTAGTTCCCAGCTACAGCTTCACTGCCAGACGGTGCCTGGCAGGTTGGGGCCTCAGTGACTATTCCTTGAGTGAACAGGCATAACAACAGTGGGTCCTTCATTGTTCTTATCAGGCTGAACTGAGTTAATATGTTCAACATACTTAGAATAAGGTCTGGTACATGCTAAGTGCTACATTCATATCAGGTTGTGCTATCATTTATCTACAACAGGTATCAAAATCTAACTGCCTACAGGAGCCAGCAAGAGCAGGGAGGGCATGAAACAGCTGGATCAGGGAGGCAGTAGGGCGTGGTGAGGCCTGTGGCACCCATGGGAGGGATTGCCCATGTTCAACTCTATTTGAATGTATGGGATTATGGTTCAGTGCCACTGCATTTTTCGATTATCCAAGACAAATCCAGAAATGAGATTTTTAGGTGCAATTTCCAAAGTTTTAAACTTTGAGAGTTCATTCAGAAATATTCAAAACATGGTGTGGGCCAAATGCAGCCTGTCTGTGGCTTGGTCTGAGCTTGCAGGCTGGCAGCGTGCAGCCAGCCTGATGCCTGGAGCTGGCACAGCAGTGTGCCTGCTGAGGGAATGGATGGGTCGGCGGGAGGCAGGGACCCTGCAAGGGCAGCCTTCACTTCACATCCCTACAGGACACAAGGGAGAATGTAGTGAGGACGTTGGTACCTGAATTCTCATCACCCAGACAAAGGCCGGCAGTGCCCTGGTTTGGCTGAGCACAATGCTGGAGGGGAAGGCGCCTGGAACCCCAAAATTGCCAAATGGGATGGTAGAGATACCTCTCTTTGCCCACACTCTCTAGGCAGGTGAGTTAGGCTTAGTGCCCTATCATAACAGGCTAATGGCAGGGGACATCAGGTCCCTGCTGCTGGGAGAAAGCCACCTGCCAGGCGCTCCCTGGTATTGCTTAGGGAGGACTGAGAAGCGCAGGGACCGACCATGCTGACCCATCCTGCCTGCCCACCCCATGACTGTGGTTCCAGAGTTTCCCAGGAGGCCTTAATGTGAGGGGTGTGTGTACTCGCTCTGTCCCCGTCAGTCCACCAGAGCACATTATTTCTTTTTCTAGACGTCATTATCCTGCAGCCACGCATGTATTCTCAAGAGCAGTTAGAAACAGGACAGTCACCAAACTCAAAACAAACACACAAAACCCGGCCATGACAGCGAGGCCAGAGGCTTCACCCCTTACCTCCCAACCAGGTGTGGGAGGTGACTAGAAGTGCCTCCTGGGTCCGGGCCTGTCCTCACCGAGCCTGCAGATGAGGCGGGGCCGGTGTCACGGGAGAACCAGAGCCCCAACGCATTCCGCCTGCCGGTGTCACAGGGCGCGAGAGGAAAGCCCAGGTCCGCCAGGCTCCTCGTTCAGGCCTCTTTTTACTACATCACGACTGCCTGCACCAAGGCGGCAAGAAGGTCCATCTCTGTAGGTGAGGAGCGGGGGTTGCCATGCCAACAGAAGATGTGCACAGGGAAACAGGGCTCTGGGTGAGCACAGAGGGCAGTAGAGCCCCCGACCTCTCTGCCCTTTCCAAGGGAAGGGGGAAGGAGCTGGAACCAGGGCGGAAGCAGCCTGGCACTGTCCTCATTCTCCAGGTTGCTGTGCCCAGGAGGGGCCCAACCGCAGGAGGGACCACAGACAGCTGTGTTTGAGGCTACTGAGAGAGGGGTCATGACCTGGAGGTTTGTTTGAAAACCTGCATAAACATCTTCTATCAGAGGGAGAGTTTATGCTCTTCAGTCAAACAAGTTGTTGGAGATGATGTATTGTGAATGGATTTGTTAAGTCTGAGCTGGGGCCATAAACTCTCCCCGAACCCCGTGGACCAATGGGGAGAAGGCTCGTCTCCCGAGGGTCTCGGTGTGTGTCTCCCCTCCTGGCCTGGCCTTGACTGCCGGCTCTTCCCAGAGGCCAGCCGGTCACACTCCAAGCCAGGAGCTCTCGTGTAGCTGCTAGCCAGGGGCCAGCTCCATCCCTCTACCTCCCCTGCTCAGAGCTCAAAGACAAGATGTGCTTTTCTCCCCCAGCTTGGAAACAGAGCTCACACACGTTCACACTGGAGGGGAAAAGAGGAGGAGGGGTGGGAGGCAGAGGATGGGCAAGAAGGCTCCTCCCACGGCCACTCCATTGCACAGATGGCAGGGCATCGTTTTGGTTGCTTGGACTAACATCCTTGGAGTCACCCACAGTACCTCTCATTCTGTCACACCCTACGCCAATCCACCAGAAATCGCGTGAGCCCTGGCCAGTTCGCTCAGTGGTTAGAGCATCAGCCTGCGAACCAGTGAGTCGAGAGTTCAATTCCGGTCAAAGGCACATACCTTGGTTGCAATTCGTCCCTGACCCTGGTTGGGGTCATGTGGGAGGCAGCCACTCAATGTGTCCCTTTCATGTCGATATTTCTCTCTCTCTCTTCCTCTTTCTCCCTCCCACTCTATCTGAACAAAACTGGAAACATGTCTTTTGGTGAGAATAAAAAAAAAGTGGTGTGAGCTCTACCTTCTGAGTACACCCAGAATCTGACCATTCTCTGCACCTCCACCGTGACCGCCTCCTGCAGGCACCGTCGCCTCTCCGTGGTCCCGCTTCTGCCCTTGACCTAACGGTGGTGCAGCGACCCTGCAGCAGCGAGGTCAGGCCGCGGGCTCCTCGGCTCCCTGCCCCAGGGGAAAGTCACAGGCTCTCCACAGCTGGCAAAGCCCTGCAGAAGCTGCCCCTCCCCATCACCCCTCTGCTTCAGCCACTGGCCTCCAACAATGGTCGTCCCCACCCCCAAACACACCCAGCCATGGCCTCTGCAGGGGCATCCTTCCCCTAGCTCCCTCCCGGCCGGACTACCTGTGGAGTCCCACAAACCCATGTTTTCTTGTCTTCGATCAAAATGCCACCTTCTCAATGAGGCTACCCCAACTCCTCTATTTAATATAGCAACTTACCCACCCTCACGCCTAGAACTACCAATCCCCTCGCTCTGCCCTATTTCTTTCTCCACGACACTTAATTCTGTCTACACCTACACTGTGTAATTTCATTATACCTATTATTTTTCTGACTCCCCTTGCTCGAAAGTAAGCTCATGAGGGCAGGGTTCTCCGAGGACCTAGAACAGTCTGGCATGTAGTAGGTGCTCAATAATTATGGCATGAAGGAAGGGGCGGGGGATGAGACAGGAAACAATAGGAGGAGCCCCTTGTGTCCACAGGGACAAGGAGACGGGACTGGGGCTGGGGTCCGGTGTGTGGGTATGGCAGCGTGGCACCTATCTGGGGGGTCAGTGGCCAGGTGCCTTTTGTCCCTCTGCTAAGCCATCAGGAGTAAAATGACCACCAATCCTGGGAGCCTGGAGGAATGTGAAGACCATCTGTACAAAGGACACTATGGCAGGCCTCCAGGAAGGAGGGTCACCCCCGGGACCCAGTGTCTCCAGACAGTTTATTTCACATGGGGTGAATCTAAGCATCTCAAGTGTACACACAGAGTTGAAGGGAAAAAAAAGGGAGAGCATTTAACTTCTGAAAACGCTTTATAATAATGCAGGACAATTATATATATAGCAAACGCCTTCAAAATTTAAACCCTTTAAACATTTAATTCTTCAGCATTAATACACACAAATGCTATTACAGGGGGCGGGGAGGGCGGATTACAGCTTCCGTAGGGATCAGAGTTTCAACAGTGTTACTTATAAATTATATTACATCAATTTTATTTACTGATCTAGGCAGCCCGAGGGTGGAAGGATATACAATGTGGAGTAAACACATTCATACCGGGATGAGGAATGCTGGCAGGAGACACAGCTTTGTAACATTAAAAATGTATAAAGCATTTAGCAAAAGTTACAGAAAACAGACCAAACAAGCGAGTTTATTTTGTTAGAAAATTCCACTTCCATAGGGCTTGCTGACGCGCCCATGTCTGAAAGTCCTGCTGCGCCCCCTCCCGCCCCATCATCTCCTGCCTAAGGGAAGGGCAGGGAGGCAGATCTGGGGCCCATCACCATGGGTGGCTGGCGTCCCTTTGAATGTCTGTCCCTGGGTCCACGGGGCTGCCTGGAGGCCGTGGCTCCCGGAGAGCTAGTCTGCTGCATGTGCCACTGGAAGGGGGGTGTCTCACTTGACAGATGAGCCCACAGAGGTCCCGGGAGGGCATGTGACAACTTGGGGTCACGGCACAGATGCGACAGCAGAGTGGGCCCAGTCTCTGTCCCCGTGTCACTGTCCCCATTAGAGCTCCCATGGGCCGGGCCCTTTTGTTCCATGACCGCAGCCCCATGAGGAATGTCCTGAAGCTCAAAGGGTCCATGTCCCCTGAAGAGTGCACAGAGAGACCACAAGGGGTCACAGCCCCTCTCCCCCAGAGGCACCTCCCAACCAAGGCTCCTGAAGTCTAGCCCCAGCATCGAGGGTGAGGGAAAGGGGAACGTTGCTTTTCTGTCTTATTCTCACTCAAACTTGCTGCAACAGGAGCCGGGTGCCTTCCCTTCAGGACAAATAATACTCCCGGGGAGGGGTCGGGGTAAGGAGTCCTCCTTGGCAAAACTCATCCCAGAGCATCGTAGATCCTTGGCTCCCCAGCATGGGAGCCTGCGGGCCGGGCTCCCTAGACTCATCCTGGACCCAGGAATGTGTTCAGTTTGCTTGGAGAGGTGCCTGGTTGCCTTCCGGGCTTACCTGTCACTGAGCAGGGCATGATCAAGGCATGGCTTGGAGAAGCTGTCACCTTGGGGGTCCTGAGGAGGAACTACCTCATTCTCAACAGCTCACAAAACTCTTTAATTTTAGCTCCCTTTGTGTCCAATGCAGAAATGCCAGGGTGTCATGAGGACTTTAGGTAACACCACGCACTACTGTGCTGATGGGACCCAGATTCGGTTCGGCCGTGTGCACAGGTACAAAACTGGAAACGAGAAGGGGGCAGGTAGAGTAGTAACTGCAGGAGGCCCGGGAGATCTCCTAGAAGACTGTTTACAGATGAAGCAGATCCAGGAAAGGGTCGCGATGAGCCCGAGACCAGCGCCCTGCTTCTCACCCACGCTGCGTCCACTTGCCTTCCACATCCCTAATGGGCCATAAATGCGAAGGATCGCGCACGCCGACACGAGGGTCCCCGGAGAGAGGGGGTCTGCTAGCTGAGAGGCAAGCTTCTGGGCACAGGAGTGAAAGGCAGTGGGGACCCCACCCGCCCTCCCCCAATCCATGGTCAAACCCTAACGTGAACCGAAAAGGCAAGTGCGAGCCCCGGGAACTGCCTGTGGGCACAGCTGGAGTTCGGAGGAGCAGCTGCAGGAGCAACAGGCTGGAAGTAGCCAAGCAAACTAGCTGAAGACCCTAGAACGGGAGCCTCTGGGACAAACAACTTCTTCTGAAAGCAAGGAGGCCGTGGGACACACCCAGGCAACGGAACACGACTTGGTGGTGAAATCAGACACACAAAACAGCACGGGTGATGCAACAATCTTCTAGAAAAGGCAACACTGTAAGGTAAAAAAATCGAACCGTGGTCGCCAAGGGCTGGGGCTGGGAGGAGTGGATTGACTGCCAGGCTCCGGGGGAATTTTTGGAGTGACGGAAACATTATGCTGATTTGGGGTGTGGTTACAAGGCTGTTTAAGTTTGTCAAGATTCACGGATCTGTGTACTTCAAAAGGGTGAATTCTACTGTATGTAAAAAATCCCAATACTGTACGTCAAATACCTCAATAAACCTGGAAAGAGAAAAGGCAGTGTCTTCTGGGGAGGGAAGGAAAAGGGGGATGAGACGGGGTGCTGGCCAAGCAAGCATGCGCCATCTGTGCTCCACTCACCATCTGGGAAGCGCATCCCCTGCCTCCATGGCCAGCAGGTCTGCAGTGCTGTGTAAACGCAGCGGGTCAAGGCCGCGCGCAGCTGGGAGCAAACTCACTTAAACAAGCCGAGGTCTTTGACGTCCTTTGAATTTTATGGCTTGTATTTCCAAGAAGGGGCTTGGGCTCAGCCAAGATTTTATGCACCCGTCCCCTAATCTAGTAATTGATTGGTTTTCACAAAGGGAATGGAAACAGATCCCTGGTTCCTGAATGTGCTTCAGTCATTAATCAGCCCCAGGAGCAGAAAGTGCCTGCGGCTGCAGAAATCCTCCCCACCAACGGCCTTGGGTGGAGGTAGACAGGAGCCCGGGGCAGCCATCCCTGCCATTCGGTGGGCCAGGGCTCTGCAGCCGTGATCAAAAACACTAGGGGAAAAGAGAGAGGAACAAGCGGCTTTTCCTGGAGGTTGTCATGGCAACCAGCTTACTTTGAACACCATTTGCCACAGAGATTTTTTTTCTTTTTTAAATCAGGTTTTCACAGACAAAACTAAGTGGAGGCAGGCAGGAGGGGCTCACTTGTTCTCGGAAATGGAACAATAGGTGTGCTCAAGAATAACCCAGACTCGCCCGCTCTGAATAAACCCAGCCGAGTCCTCCTATTACCTAAACACCAAAATATAAACAAAGCAAAACAATAACCACCCGGATAGAGCGGTACCCCAAGGGCACTGTTAGATACTCTAGACTTCATCCTCACTTCACCCAGAGGGGGCCCGGGGAACAAGGACAGGGGCCCGGACGGTCACTCCAGCTGTGGTTCATTCACTGCATTAGTTTTACAGCCCACACTGCCCACTCACCCTCTGTCAAGGGAGGAGCTATTCAAAACAAAAAGAAATCTCAGAAATTCAAGCTGGAGTGGGGCTGCGAGGGTCTAGCGACCAGGTGACTGAACCCTCGTTGCTGTCCACCTTCCACCCAGAGGGTAAAGGCCGCATGACGGTAGTTGGTACTATAATCACAGGCTGCAGTGGGTGAAATGTGGAAGGTTAATGTTCTCCTTCTCCAGAAAGGGCAAAATATCCCGCTGTCTACATGGAGAATAGAGGGGACAGGGAGATGGTCTGTCGTAGGCAGCTACATTCCTAGGTCCCTGCACAATGTCTGGCTTGTCCCGAGTATCTGCTGAATAAACAAATAAATGAACGAATGCAAATCAGCACGACAGACAGCATCTCTGAAAAGCCACTTCTGCAGAGAGCACCGGAATGTGAATGCCAAGGCCACCGGCCTGCAAGCGCCCCGGAGAGGAGATAAACTTACACAAAGTAACAGAAAGTCAGCCCACAGCCAGTCCTCAGATCTCAGCACATCGCCTGGCTAAATGCTTGGTGTGTGACTAAAGGAGGTCAGAAAACGAAAAAGGAGAATGAGAAAAAGCTAATGCCACTGAGGTGAGGGGTACGAGGGGGAAAGATGACTTCAGAAAACAGACTGGCCCACGCTGGGCCCACTCAGGCTGCCCCGGAAGAGGCACGTGAGCTCCCTCCGTCCCAGGGAGGAACAGAAGGTTCTGGAATCCTCAGAGGGAAACGAGGAGGCAAAATCAATGAGCGAATCCACTCCAAATATCTGTGTTCATAACAAAGCTATTGGCTTTGAGTATTTGAAAATCATTCACAAATTAGGTCACTAAGCCACAAAGCAGCTGCTACTAGCACCTGTTTTTAATCAAGAAACCAAGAAAGAACACCCTGAAGTTGGTGGCTGGTATCATGGCCCATTGCCAGATCCAGAGGGAGGGTTCTCCGTGCAATGGCCAGATTCCTGTTGGTGGCTTTCACATGGACCTTTTTGGTTGGGACGTTTCAATAGAACTGACAAAGTTTGTTTGCTTTAGTATATTCGGCATCTTTCTATCATAAACTACGAGAGTGCCATTCTGACCCAATGCAAGAGGTCCCAAGAGAGTCAAGATTAAGAAGTCGTCAGATACTAGCACGTGAGACTGAAAGACCCGTGCGTTGTGCTCTTAGAATTCTGTGTTCTCGGGAAACACAGGGGCCCTGTAAATCCGAAGTCACCAATGGAAAGGATCAAATCGGCGAGATGGGTTGGTGCTCAGGGCATGGGTTCCAGGCTATGACCTGCCCCCTGCTGGCTGCATGTCCTCCCCCAGGTCTCTCTTCTTCCTCTGGTCCTTTCGAACTGATTCTCAGGACGTAGGGGAACGGACAGCATGTCTGCTGTGGTTCGAAAAGGAGGAAGTGATGAGCAAGGACCCGACGGCAGCCCCGAAAGCTCCCTAGGTCACACTCAGACCAGGCTTCCCCAGAGACTGGGAGATGAAGAAAGCGGAAGATGCACCAGCACCAAGCGGGGCTTGATGCAGGGCCCTGGGATGTGCAGAGGTCCCCGAGAGGCCACGGCGGTGGACACTGCCTCGTAGGCGACAACCTACTGTGGCCATGTTCGCCTTCAACGCCTGTAGAGTGACCACCAAAGAGAGAAAGCTATACAAGGGACAGCGATCCATGTCACCATGCACAAGCAGGCAGAGCCATCTGGGGGGGTGACAAAGACTTGCCCCGTCTCCCACATGGGACTGACCCAGCCCCTTTAAGAGTGTGGAAAGAGGGGGTGGGTGGGAGCATCTGAAAGTTGGGTGGATTGGGATTTTGAGAGAGGAGACGTCACAGAGGATACTAATCTACTGGGAAACTCGATTCAATGCTCGGACTGAGGGCTGATTTGCTGAATGAGGTAGTTCCATCCCGACCTCTCCAGGCAGGGTCAGTCTGGGAAGACAGGAGCCAGGCCTTCTTCCCAAGACTCTTGATCATGACAGGTGACAGAGAAGAGCCAGGATGTGGACTCCCAGAATGCAAAGGGAAAACGAAGGGGGAGGCTGCAAAGGGTTCTGAGTGCGGGCTGTTGAGCTGAACGGTGCCTTCTATCCGCAACTGTGATCCTGACACTCGGCTTGGAGAACAGACCCCTCCCCTGACCCTCCAAAGCCCTGGAGACACGAGGCCAGCTGGAGGGAGGACCTTGGAGCTTCCAGGGGCACAGGCATGTGACACAGCAGGCTCTGGGGGGAGAGGAACCCTGTGGCACTCAGCAGGGGCCACACAGTTCCAGCCTCGGTTTGTTCTCAAAGGGCAAGCGCAGCATGGGATTCGGGGGTCTTCGGCCTCAGAGACAAGGGCGGGGCTGTGGAGCCATCTTCTTGGCCTGGGGACACTAGGGACCTCCCAGCAAGGCCATCCAGGGTGCCCTTCGGGAATCACTAGCTGAGCCACACCCCTCCCTGTCCTCAGGGGACCAGGGGAGCGGGCGGGAGGGCAGCTCCACCTGTCAGCAGGCCCCAGGGCGGGAACCACCTCCTCTCCAGGGGACCCCCAGCCCCGCTCCTTGCTCCTCAGCGGGACCTCGGGGCCGCAGGGGCCCGTCTAGATCTCCATGTCCACAGGGCGGATGTTGCCCGTCTTGTGCTCTCTGACCCACAGCTCCCTGTCTTTGGCTGGGTCCACTTTTCGAAGCAGTTGGTCCACAGGCTCGACTGTCTGCAAGGGACGGAGAAGAGGACACGGTCAGGGGGCAGCCGACCAGGGACACTGCCTCTGCACCACGCTGCTCACATCTCTGCCCCTCAGAGCAGCTCCTCCAGAGGGCAGGGCCCCAGGGGGGCCTGCGCGAGGCAGACGTGCAGAGACTGTGAGAACGGGAAGCCAGGACTGCTTGTCCCCACCCTGCTTCTCACTCGCCGCACTTGACCCGCTGGCCCTGAGGGCTGAATGGTTCGATGGCTCCAGGTCAGGGCCAGTCCCACCCTCTGTTCCCACGGTTACCACCACAGAACAGCACAAAGGAAATTTTAGCTTTAGATATTCCGATGCTAGATATTCCCCCTGCCTTTGGTAAGAATTCACTGGGGCAGGCAATACTGTCTTCAGCTATCTGAACTACCATGAGCCTCCTTCTCATCAGGGTAACAGCTTGTGTACATTGTGTCCATCTCACGCGCTTGGGATGGGTTCACATGGGTGTGCAGGACAATGTACAAGCCCACCCCAAGGTTGCCCACTGCCCATCTTCCGGACAGATGCATCTTAACCTGCCACAGAACAGTGGCACGTGGCTCTCCCTGACCCTGGGTCACCCTGGGGTCCTGCTGGCCTCCGCCTGCGGGTGGGGAACTCACGCTTTGGTTGAACATGTCTGTCTCATGCCGCAGCTGTGTGTACTGGCACAGATGTTGCCGGATCATCTCTACCCTCTCCACCTCCAGCCGCTCCAGCTCCTGCACGGGAGGAAAGACAGAGACCTCTGAGCAGGGCCTCTCGACATGGGGACGTTCCCACCACGTGGGTCCCAGACCACCTCTCGCACACAATACCGGTCACCACCTGCTTAGACCTGATCCCATCTGACGCCCCCGGGGTCTGATGAAGAGCTCGTGCCACAGCCAGTGGTGAAGGTGAAGAGGATGCCAACCCAGCAGCTATTTCCTGATCCTGCCCTGCCAGGCATGGTGGGTGCTCAGAGCTTTAGAGGCGTTACTTAATTGTCCGCATAATAATCTTAAGAGAGAGGTTCTGTTCTTATGCGCGTTTTCCAAACAAGGGAAGAAACATCCAGAGAGGTGACATCACCTGCCCAAAGCGACATGGAATTATGGGAGGAGCAAGATTCGAACCAGTGTCTGTTGTGGTCTTAATCATGATTCTGCACCAGTGCGGTCCCAGGTCCAGTTCCCTGGGGGTGGATAAACGGGACCACAGGAGTGTCTGGGCCTCTGCGGATCAGCCTCTGTCCTCTGTCCAGCCCTAGAGCTGAGGGACAGACCAGAGACCAGGCCAGGGGGAGGCAGGGGGCCAGGGGTGAGGTGGCCACTGTCGAAGTGAAGAGTAGAAAGGGTTTGTCCTTTGGTTTCTAGGTGGTTCCACATCTTTGGAATTTAGGGGATCAGGGCTGTTATTCTGCGCACAACTAGGTCACTGTCCCAGTGATTAAGCGGGGAGGGGGGTAAAGCAGGGGGCTTAATTAGGAGATTAACCAGGAGGAAAACCAGGTCACTGTCCCGTGCTGGGGGGACAGAGGTGGCTTCAGGCAATGGGGTGATGTGATAAACACCTGGCATGATGCCCCTTTCTTATCTGGCCCAACAACCCAAGTGCCCACCACGCTTCACCGAAACAGTGCCAACTGAGGAGGAGACGCTGCCCCTTCACGAGAAAAACTCATGAAGTCAAGAAAAGGGCTCTGAGGACCATTCCTCATGCCTCTGCTCAGGGGCCCCTCCGCTCCTCCTACACAGCTCCCCAACCTCTCCACCTACCCACCTGGCAAGAATCTCCTCTGTAGGACCTGCAACTCTTCGGGGAAGTGAGAGGGTCCTACTTCTAACAACGTGGCTCTTTGCCCTGAAGGGGCCACTGTCAACTCAGTTGGGGATCCTCAGTTGGACCTGACCCCTTCTACACAGCTAGGAGGTGCCAAAGCAAGGGTGTGAATCAGCATGGACTGGCCCGGAGTCGAGGTCTGGACCCCAGATGAGCAGATGTAATGACCATCTCCACAGTCGCCTCCCCCCATCACCCACATGCCCGCCAGCACCAACCCGGGCGTCCTGAGTGCGGTCACTGTACTGGCATGCTTACACGTGCCTGGGTACTCACCAATGTGGTGGTCACCATCTCCTCGAACCACTTGGACTGTGCCTGGTTGTAGAGGTCCACACAGCGCATGAGGTCATCTCCTGGAAGAGGCCAATGGCACCGTCACTCTGTCCTGTCCTTGCCATGGCTGCCCTCGCCTGTCTGCACCCGCGGCCATGCCTCTCCTCTCCTTGGGGTCATGGAGATCATTGCAAAGTGGGGGGGTGGGGGGGGGATGAAGAGCAGAACAAGGAGAGGGCAACCCGGCACCACAAGAGACCAGCTTCAGCGTGCCCAGCTGAACTTGATTCCAGACACCAAGAATTCAGAATGGAGGTTTCTGTGTGTGTGTGTGTATGGGGGTTGGGGGTGGGAAGAGGGTTACTCCTAGGACCCTCAATCCTATCACAAGCCCAAGAAATGCTTCCTCTCTAAAGATGGTAGTTTAATTTCACACTGGAGAATCCTTTTTGGCTACAACATGTCACAAGCAACTTGGTACTAGTTAAGAGTTAAAGAAGAAAAATGTGTGCCCAGGCCGGTTTGGCTCAGCGGTTAGAGTGTCAGCCTGCAGTCTAGAGAGACCCGGGTTCGGTTCCTGCTAAGGGCATGTACCTCGGTTGCAGTTTGTCCCCGGCCCTGGTTGGGTCGTGCGGGTGGCAGCCACTCGATGTGTCCCTTTCACATCGATGTTTCTCTCTCTCTCTCCCTCCCACTCTATCTGAACAAAAAATGAAAAAATGTCCTCAGGTAAGGATTAAAAAAAGAAGAAAAATGTGCAAATTATGTCTGTATACGTGTGTGTATGTGTGTGTACATGCAGCAGGATGTGAAAAATATGCAAATTATGTCTGTATACGTGTGTGTATGTGTGTGTACATGCAGCAGGATGTCATTCTGAAACACAAAATACGGTGTCTGATGGCTTATGGCTCACCCACGTGCAGTGATGGTATGAAAACGCGCCGGAACGCGATGCACTAATTCCAGGACAGCGCTCACACTGGAAACAGAGACGGGATGGCGGGAGGAAAGAGCTCTTTCTGTAGCCTTTTATTTCATAAGGATCAGGAACAAACATAACTATTTGATCTGGATGGCGAGTATATTGTTTTCAGCAATCATTTGAAACATTTTATAATCAGAAAGAAAACAAACTGTGAAGTAACTGCACACATTACTAAGGCACCAGCACCCAGAATCCTGCTGCACAAACACTGTTCCTAGACCAGCAGCATCTGTGTGCCCCGGGGGCTGGCCAGAAACGCCGCTCCCAGGACGTGCCGGTTCCTAGCGAATCGGAAACTGCATTTTCACGAGATGCTCAGGGGGTACAGAAGCCCCTGCCCAGTGCACAGCGTGGTCTAAACATAGTTTAGATCATCACAGGTTCTAGAAAGGATGGCATCATGGGCTTTGCTCCTGATGGGAAAAGCTCATGAGCCAACCAAAGCTAACTCACTTCTTCTTTAAATCTAGTAACTGGAGTGGATTCGAAGTTATTCCTATAACATCACCCTGCTCATTCTAGCCTGAGAGTGAACGCCCGCACAGGACCCAGCCCTGCTCCGCAGCTCCCTGCCGCCTGGACCGCATCGCCGGCTGGGAGATGCCCCCCGAGTAACAGAATCCAAGTCAAGGGCTTTGTTCATTTTGCTCTTGGTCCGCGGTCAAGGACTGGGCCCTTGATCCCAAGAAGGACTGGAACTAGAGGGAAAAGAGTCGACACTTCACTGCCAATGCGTGCCCTCTAAGACCCCAGGCCCATCCAGGACAGAATTCGTATATCACCCTCTAAAGGTACAACATGAAACTCCCAAAGCCCTACTTGTCAATCCTGATTTTAAGAACATGCTTCAGTAACTTCTGTAACATCAGGAAACAGGTGAAGGATGGTGTGTCTTATCTCTATGCAGCCCAAGGATTTGAATGAAACCCTTCTGAACAGTATGAGTGAAGACATGGATTCTGGAAGCAGAACATCTTGGCTGCCACACTCACTCCACGGCTTATTAGCTGTGGATCTGGAACAAGTCAATTAACCTGCCCACACCTGCTTCCTCTCTGTGAAACAGGAATAACAGTGGCACCGTCAGAGTCACGGCGAAAGTTAAATGTGTCGATATGGGTAAAGTGCTCAGAGCGGACACAGAGTCAGCAAACTATCAGCATCTAGAACGATGACAATGACACGAAATGAAGTCAGGCCCCGAGGATCCAGCTGCCCTCCCGCCCAGCAACCCGTGAAAACACAGGGGAGGGGGTGAAAGAAAAGATGGCATTTTCTGGGCTGTCCAGCCCAACGGAGACAAGGCACCGTCTCTGGAATGACGGAATGACAGAAGACGGAACGCTGGGCCACACCCTCCGTATCATAGGCTCGGGGAAGCTTCTCATCCTGTCTGTCACCCGCTTCCTCACTTACAAAAGGTATAAAAACACCTCCCTGTAGGAGGGCTGGGAAGATGCAGAGAGAGAATGTTCCAAGGCTGGTGCCCCGCACATGGAAAGGTGGTGTTTTGCAGAGTCCTAGGACTAGTCGTTTTAAGCACAAATAATCCCAAACCGGGGATAAGAGACCACAGTATCTGATGACTGCCACAAAACAAGGAACAAGCAGCAAGACTGGGAAACAACAGTAATGACGCCTGAACTCATGAGCATTTAAAGATGTGATTTTAAATTTGGCTCAAAGGTGAAATCAAGTCACACATAACGAAATATCTAGACGACGAGAAGGAAAACCCTGCAGATCGAAATTTGTGGAACATGGTTTAGGCAGAGGTGTGAGGAAAAATAAGTGTCTGGCAGCCTCAATACAGATGGGCAAAAACAGGTCTGCAGCTGTCCGTATGGAAAATGATACAGTAATTAATAAATAACAATACAAGAATAAACTCTGTGTTTTGCGTACTCATAACTGTAAACCTACTTTTGCTCTACCCCGTATTCATTTTTTAACCTGAGCCCCACCCCCCAAAAAAATAGTAAGAAAAAAAGTGATTAAAAAAAAAACTTGAAAGGGGAAGGGCTTTCTACGTTAGTCACAAACTCAAGACTATGTCGTGGAGAAAAGGTCACTATACAAGAAAATTAGAAATAAGCCAACACCCACCCCCCAAAATACAAAGAACCAAATGAAAAGATAAACAACCACCTAGGAAAATATTTGCAACTCAAATAACAAATAGGTAATCTTCCGAACATATAAATAATCTCTATGAATCAATCGGTGAGAACAAGACTGGCCGCTGACTAGAAAATGGGGCAAAAATAGGCGTTACTCAGTTCACAGGAAAAGGTCACAGATAACTGGTCAGTCTGTTTTTAAATTGCTCAACTTCACTCAAAAAGAAATGTAAATGAAATTAACAAGAAGACATTATTTTTCCCCGGAGAAGACAACGTCACAGTTTGGTAACACGGCGCCGATAGGAGTGAGTTTAGGGCGCAGACATCCATCAGTGCTGTACGGGTGGGCACACCTCTCTGGAAAGCAGTCTGAAAGTATCCATCAAATGAATACAACCCTCTGACCCAGAAAATTCGCATCTCTATTCTCTCTATACACAGATTTAGACTCGCACACAGACACATTTATAATAGCGCAGCATTGCGGGCATTGTCAAACACTCCAAAGCAATCAATAAAAGAAAGTCCTACCACAGTCCGTTAGGGAAATGATGAAATAAAGTTGGATACAATCATACACTTGGATACTATGCAACCATTATAAAAGTCTCATGTATGGGGAAAAAAACAAGACACTATCCATCCCCAGTGAAATGGAAAGAATCCCATGTCTACCTTAATAGACATCAAATCAACTACATCCTCAGAAGAACTTGATTTTTTTTTTTTTTTGATGAAGAGATGGAACAAATAGAATGACTAAAACACATTTACTGACTGGTCTAATAATGATTCAGATTATGAAACTGATGGCCAGGATTTAAACAAGATTTTGACTGTAACTTAGATACCACCTTACATGAGAAAACATCCTGGAGGAGATGGAACAGGCAACCACATGTCTTCGGTGAAAACTAATCTGAACTTGCTAAAGCTATTGATGATGGCTTATGTTATTCTGAACAGGATCTATGGATGGAAGAGGCTGAACACACACACACATGCACGCACGCACACACACACACATCCCTATAACAGTAACTGTTTCTGGCCAGCATCTTTCTACTTGATACTATGGCTTGGTTGTATGTTGTTGCTTCAAGTTTCCTAAATTTTTAAAAAAATGTATGGGTCTTTATTTTATAAAATTTTAAATATAAATAAATTACATTCAATTAGAAAGCTTCCCAGAAATATATCTTACTGTCACAAACTGAGCAATAATTTTATTTTTTTTAAATGACAGTGAAATATTTCAATTACAAAGAAAAAAATGTCTGATGTCCATGAGTGGATGGGTAATTAAATGTATACGTAATGGCCCTGGTCAGTCTGGCTCAGCGGTTAGAGCGTCGGCCTGTGGTCTAGAGAGACCTGGGTTCAGTTCCTGCTAAGGGCATGTACCTCGGTTGCGGTTTGTCCCCGGCCCTGGTTGGATCATGCGGGTGGCAACCACTCAATGTGTCCCTTTCACGACGATGTTCTCTCTCTCTCTCTCCCTCCTACTCTATCTGAACAAAAAATGGAAAAATGTCCTTGGGTGAGGATAAAAAATAAATCAATAAATCAATCAACCAATCAATAAATAAATGTATACGTAATGAAATAGAGCTATCTCTGAGATATACCAATTAAAATATAACCTTAGGACAAACAGTATATGATCTCTGTGTAAATTTAAATATAAATATTAAAAAATTTTTAAAAATTAAAACACTAGGAAGTATTAATGGTGATTATGTTTGGTAAATTAAGATTTTATATTCTTATGTGCTGATTACAATTTTTTTCCAAGCTGATATTGGTTTTATAATATAACTACATTTAATAACTTAATTAATTATATGAATTTAAATATGCCTCTTCTCACCCTGGGTTTCCCTTCCCAGTATATATATTGTTTATATTATATATATTATATAATGTCTTCTATTTCTGCATTCAATAATTACCGTGCATTATAAGATCTTTATATCAAATGTTATGTTTATATTATTTTGTTATTGACTTACTTTTATACCATCTTATTTCATAATGTCCCTTGGGTGGCTGCTTCATCCTATAATGAGTACCGGGCTCACCAGAGGCTGAGGTGGAAGGGACCTAGACCATCTGACCCGAACCCTAGTCCTACACCACACATTTCAGTCCCAGAAAAGCAACTCCAACTGTTCTTGCACACAGAGAAACTTCTGCTTGTTTGTGTTTAAGGAATACTTGCTAAGTTTTCACTGGTTCTAACTGGCTTTTCTTCTCCTTCCTTGGCCATTAGCTAGTTTTTGCCACTAGGTGGAAGCAGAAACCAATTCACTGGAAGCATCTTTAGGGAGAATCTGAAAGGTGGTTATTTCAGGAAAAATGTCAGCGGCTGACTGGGGCAGGAGCCCATCACCAAGGTGAACCTCTGAGTATCACTCCCTGTGCGGTGGGCTTTGTACTTCTCCTAGGGGCTCCACACAGTGACAGGACCCCTGAATTCTAGAGCCATGGAGAGTAACCACTTCCTGGACGGAGAGCCAGGGCCTGGGGACAGCCCGGTCTACTGGCCCCCGCCAGCCCTCCCCTATGGGGTGCACCTTCCAGGCATCCCGTGCCTGGGCCTTTGCCTTGCTGTGCTTCTGACCAGTGAGCACAGGTGGCCGTGACGCAGCACTCACCAGCCTGCGTGGACTTCCTCCGAGCCTTCTTGATGTCCTCCTCCGTCTTGTTGCTCAGCTTGATCTCCAGCTGTTGGGTCTTCATCTCCAGGTCTCTCTGCCGCTCCGTGAGGGCTTTCCGGGCCTGGGGCCGAGTCATGGAAAAGCTGTTCACGGGGCTCAGAGCCAGGAGGGCTCCGAGGGTCACGGGGCCGGCCTCCCCGCTTTCTAGGTAAGAATCCCTCCTTGTCCCTGTTCTTGTGGGTGATGCCACCGCGGCCCCGAGAGGCTCAGCAGCCTGACCAGCATCACTTGGCCTCAGTCACTGCGCTGAGGCTGCAACGCGTCCTCTGGTCCCCGCCTCTGTCAGCTGCGCCGACTTGGCCTGCAGCGAGCCTCTCAGGCCAGGGTTCAGTGGACGTGTGCTCATTCAGGCAGTCCTAAAACCACAGCCTGGGACGGCGGCAGGGAGCACAAGGTCACCTCCGTCACCTCCCAGCAGTGCTTAGCAGATGGCAGCACCAGCAGTCCCACTTTGGGGCAGAACGGGTCCCTTGGTGGCAGCAGCTGGCAGAGTCTAGGGTGACTGCAGCCCCCTTCTCCTGCACCTGAGTCATGTGGTCAGCCCCGGGGAGCGCTCCCTTCCCTCCGGGGAAGGCCACCGGCAGCTCCCACCTAGCGCGGACCTCACAGACTTTTGGGAGGGTGGTGATTCAGTCAGGAGACAATCTGCCAGGTGAGGCCCAGGGGGGCATGTGGGGCCCAGCAGCCCAGCCAGGCTCCCTGTCCCAGGAAAGCATGGCTGTACCTCGCCCCGGGTACCCACTGTACTGCCCACTGCGGGTATGGCCCTCCTGCTGCCCCAGCCCTCTGGGCAGGTCTGAGGGCCACCTGCTCTTTGTGGGGGAGGGAGGTTCCTTAGGCATGGGCTGGGGTCCACCCCCCACCCCCATCCCGCTCAGCCCACCCCTCCCGAGAGGCCCCACCTCCCGCGCCCAGCGTTCTGGGCCCCCACCTTCTCCACTGCAGCGTAGCGGCTGGCCAGCTGCTTGCGGAGGTCAGCGATGTGGTGGTCACACTTCTTCATGTCTTTCTTGAAGTTCTCCCGGAAGTTCATCAGGGGCTTCTCTACCTCGCTGTGAAGCTGTGAGGAGGAAGGGGGACATACTCAGGACCCAAGGCATCAGCTAGAGCAAGCGGGGAGGAGGGCACGCTCCCCCCCTGCAGGCCGGGGAGGCGGGGCAGCGGCCTGGCCCTCTAGCAGCAAAGGTCCAGTCCAGTGGCCATTTATGAGGTCGAGGTTCAGGAAGTCGCCTGAGCTGGCCACGCACGTGCTCACAGCGGCGGGGGGCAGGCTGGAGCCTGGAGCTTTCTGAGGCCCTGGTTGGTCACCTCCGTCCGACTCGCAGCTCCCACAGCTTCTTGGGGGCTCTTAGCTTCCAATCTGGGAGCTTTCTGGGGGCAGAAAGCAAGCCACCGTCTCTATGACCCCAGGCACTTAGCACTTGCGTGGATGCCATTTGATTTAGGTGACAACAGGTCAGCTCTGTTTATTGAGTATCTGTTCTGTGCCGGGTGCAGAAACTACAAAGGTGATCAGGACCTGGTCCATAGCTAGAAGAATCTATGCTGGGAACCACCCAAGACCCTGCGGAAATTCTCAGGGCCCCTCTGAGCACTGTGCCCTGGGGGGTGCTGGTCTCACTGGTCTGCACGGAGAGCGGCACACGGGTCCCAACCCGCGGCACACACGTCCCATCCCCCCGCGCGTCCATTCCCCCCCCCCCCCGCACGTCCCATCCTCCCACACGTCCCATCCCGCCGCACACCCATCCCCCCGCACGTCCACCCCCCCCACGCACGTCCCATCCCGTCCAATCCCGCCACACGTTCCATCCCCCCCATGTCACATCCCGCCGCACACCCATCCCCCGCACATCCCATCCCGTCCATCCCCCCACACGTCACATCATACCTCAGGAAATCAGCCCCGCATTCCGAAGGCCAAGAGTAAGAGGTTTATGATCTGAGAGGAGTGGATGGTGTTTTTTTTAGCATTTTCCTTCTCTTTTATTCTTTCCCTCTTTCCCACTCGGTTTTGAAGGAGGCCTTTTACTTACAACTTTTTGGTGTGAGTATAAGACGTATTTGATCAGAAAACAGATGACTGTGCACCTGCTGCCAGGCCAGGGGAGTAGCCTGGAGGCTCACCTGCCGCTCAGGGCCCCACCCCCCTGCTCCTGAGCCCCCGACGGCCTCCAGCCGCCCCAGAAGTGCCCCTTAAAGTGCAGCTGCATTTCTCTGGTCAGAGGAGAACACACCCCACACCCCACACACTCCACTCTGGGACTCTGGGGTTTCTCTCCTCCTTCTCACCAGGCTCTTGTTGCTTGATCTTTCCTTTCCTGGGACCTTGGGGGCTTAGGTATTTCTAGTTCTACACGTGACTGTGAGCTCCCAGAGGGCAGGGCTGGCTTGGCCACTAGTGTGCCCGCATTCGGCTGGAGCTGGTGCGAAGTGGGTGTTCTCATTTCCTGGGGAAGTGGCAAACCTTCAGTGCCCAGAGCCCTGGGTAACAAGACAATCACTTTGTTGCCAGATGACCTTCAAAGTCGACTGGGGAGCACTGTCTACATCCCTCTCTTCCAATGTTAGTGCTAATGGTCTGCTGCTATTGTTTAGAACCCAGGCAAGTTTCTTGGTGTAGGAAGACACCCCCACCTGGTGGCGGTTTGGAAGACGCTACAGACCCGAAAGCGATGGAGGACACGCAGACCCCTTTCCGGCGCAGGTGAGGCGGCTGCTGAGGGGGAGGACCTGCATAACTCGGGCCATGGCACCTGCTCGGACTGGGGTCTGTGGGGGTTGACTCAGGACCTCTGGGTCACTTTCTGAAGATGTTGAGTTGATTTCTAGACTTCAGGGTGCCCAAGAGTGACTTGGGAGGGGCTTTTCAACACTCGGGATTCCTGGGCCCCAGCCCCAGGTTCTGCCAACACAGCAAAACGCTTTCCCCAAGTTCTAAACGACATTCTGGAAACAATGCGCAATCCCATGGATTCTCCTTCTATATTCTGAGTTCTTTTAAAAGACATACTTTTTCTTAAAAAAAAAATTGGCTGGGTGTCTTTTTATACTCATTTTTCACTTTTAAGCATCTCTGTAACTGGGAGTCCCAGTCCTCAGAACTTGTCCCCGTGAACTCTCGAGCTGGCCTGTCTTGCACGGGACAGGCTGTCGGATCCATTCAGGGTGCCTGTTCCGAACTCCTCCCTCTCAGCCTCCCCCTTTCCACCTCACACAGACGAGAGAAAGAGAAATCTCAAGATGCAAAAAATGACAGAGACTATCTGGGCAGCGTTTTTCAAACAGTGGGCAGCTGGCAGCAGTGAAATCGGTTTAGTGGGTCAGAACCAGCTTTTAATGTGGGCAGAGCAGACACGAGGAAAATATCAGAGTGCACGACAGGCAGGAAGGTAAGTACTGCTTCATGAAATGGCTATATGCATGTGTCCATACCTGTACGTGGACAGTGTGTGTGCATACCCAAGTGCCGCGGGGGACGTGTGTATCTGTATGTGGACAGTGTGTGTGCATACCCAAGTGCCGCGGGGGACGTGCGTACCTGTACGTGGACAGTGTGTGTGCATACCCAAGTGCCGCGGGGGACGTGCATACCTGTATGTGGACAGTGGATGTGCATGCCCGAGTGCCGCAGGGAATGTGCGTACCTGCATGTGGACACTGGGTGTGCATACCTGAGTGCCGTGGGGGATGCGTACCTGTATGTGGGCACTGGGTGTGCATACCTGAGTGCCATGGGGGCATGCGTACCTGTGTGTGGACACTGGGTGTGCATACCTGAGTGCCATGGGGGCATGTGTACCTGTGTGTGGACACTGGGTGTGCATACCTGAGTGCTGTGAGGGGCATGTAGAATGTATTACTATGGTTCACCACCAAATAAGTTTTGAATAAAAACATGGGAGCTCAGAAATGCTAAACGACTCGCCCAAGGTCAGAAGCTGGTAGTGACAGACTGACTTAAGCTCCCGCCCCCCGGCTCCCCGCTGCCCCCGCAGTCGGAATGCATGGCCTCTAACCGCATGATTAGCTTGTCTCCCACCATGAGGAACTTTTCCAGTCTTCCTGCTTCAGCGGAGCCAGGTATGACCTCCTTTGTATGTAGCAAACATTTCCTTTCAGCAGCCTATTGCTCGTAACCATGGTGTGAGCTAGTAGAGGAGAAAAGCCTGGAAAATTGCGGAACAAAACTGCATTTCTTAAAGGGCTCTCACCTGACACAGAGGCGGAATTTCAATGAGCCTGTGGAGAGAGGTTGAAAGGGTTTGGGGCATACGGAGCCATGGTATCCACGGGAAGCAATGAATCCTTGGCGCTCCTTTCTCTTCAGGGACTAGCCAGACCACTACGGGCCTGCCACCGAGACTGCCTGAGGCCACCCGCTCTGACAACTGGCCGGCAGCAGCAGAGGTTCTCAGGGGACAACCTGTTTGCTGTGAACATTCTTTAAAAGCTTTCCGGCAGCGACTTCCTGGGCACTTGGGAGGGCCAGCTGCACCACCCTGGACAGCCCGAGAGAGGGCAGAGTGCGCCTCAGAATGCCACTGTGCCAGGAGACAAGTCCGGTCAAGCATCCAATTCACTCAGTCCTCTCCTTTGCTCCTCAAGCTGAGCCCTCCAGGCTGGGGACCACAGGATATGATTTACTCCCTCTACTCCTCACCCGTGAATGGAGATGCTGATAACCCTGAGAGCTTTATCCTGCATGTAACCATCAGAGCACTTATGGACTTGACTCTGTGATACAATAACAAATATGTGTGCGGCTTCTTGCCTTCAGCTCCTAGCCAGAGCTCCTAAAACCTTTATAATCTCCTAAGTGATCAAGGTGCTAGGAGCATCTAACATTTGGCCGCTGACCCTGGTTCCTGTCACAGAACTCCTGAGTCCCTTGGCATTTCCTGGATGACAGAAGCCGCTTTTGTCCTAATGAGGTGACTCTGTGGGCTCCGGACTAGCATCAGGATGGGGCTGGTCACCAGAAAGACCGAGCCACGATTAGAAGCTTAGAACTTTCAGCTCCATCCCCAACCTCTGGGGAGAGGTGAGAAGCTGGACAGTGGGTAAATGCCCGATCACGCTTACGTGATGAAGCCGCCATAAAACTGAACCAGAGGTGCAGAGAGCTCCGGGGTTGGTGCACACACCCACAAGCATCCAACTCGAGAGCGACAGAAGCTCCTGGGCTCGGGACCCTCCCAGACGTCACCCTATGCACCGCCTCACCTGGCTGCTCGTCTCTATCACCCATCACAGCCTTTAACACACACTAAACCGGTAACCTGAGTGTTTCCTTGAGTTCTGTGAACCATTCTTGCAAATTATCAGACCTGAGGTGGGCTGTGAGAACCCCCGATTTGCAGCCAAGTCAACAGAAGTGTGGGTCACCTGGGCTCTGGCATCTGAGGGGGGCGGTCTGGTGAGGCTGAGCCCTTAGCCTGTGGGATTGGCTGCTGTCTCCAGGTCGTCAGTGTCAGAACTGAGATACATTGTAGGACACCCAGCTGGTGTCAGAATTGGTCAGTGTGGGAAAAGCCATTTGGTGGCCAGGAGTGTTGGTGTGAGTAGTAGTAGTAAAAGGAAATAGCAGAGAAAAACAGCACCGGTCGCTGAGGGTTCCATAAACAATCCAGAATTGGGGTCCTGCTGATGGGAAGTAAATGCCACCGGAATTCCGGGGGGCGGGGGTCAGCGGGAGCCCTTTCAGAAGCTCAGGCAGCTGGGCTCCCAGACCCGCCCAGCGCAGTGGCCGCCTCCCCACTCACCTCACCAGTCACTGGAGGGTTCTACCAGGAGAGAACAGATGCTGGGGGCTAGGACAGAAGGGAGACCTAGAGGGAACACTTCCCATGACCTGCAGCGTAAAGAGAACTCGCTGCTTTGTATGCAAGGCAGCCAAGAGCCCGATTCTCAGACTCACCGAGCTCCTTTCTCTCCGGGAGCTGGCGTGGCGATTTCCTGGGGAAGTGCTTGGTGTACGCGGTTAACGTGCTGTTGGTAGCCAGGGGCTCTCACGCACCTCTGGGCACTGCTCTGCGTCAGCAGGAGGAGCTGGTAATAGCACTTTTCCCTCCCGGCCCAGCTCCTCATTAAGCTCCTCCAGAGGTCTCAGCTGTCTGACTCCTTCATTCTGCCCTGTGTGCAGGGCATGGCCACGAGAGAGTGTGGGGAGGCCTGGCACAAAGCTAGACCCCTGTCCTCCCAGTGCACACCCCATGGGGACCCCAAGGCCAGAACGCCAACTGGTACGGGGAACGCACCAGAAGAGACAGGACCTGTGAGCGCTGAGTGTGGAAGCCCCGGGAAGAAGCAGCCATCTTTCAGGGGTAGTACCTTCAAGTAGTAAAGGAGGCAGTATGCCCCCTAATGTAAAAATGGGGCTCAGCGATGTTAAGCACTTTGTCCCGAGTGCCCTCGCAGGCTGTTGTGTCTGATGGGCAGTGGCCGGAGGGCAGAGGGCACAGAGTGGACCCCAGGAGGCTGTGGTCACTGGGAATGGTGCACTCTCAGGGTCTCTCTTCCTTTAGAAGGCAAGTATGCCAGTGGGTAGCCCCAGCAGTCATGCACACTTTAGTGTGAATTATTTCATTTAGACAGTTGGTTTATTTTCTCCCCTGAAAAGTAGCTAACAGCCTGAGAGGAAATTTGGAGACATGAGCCAGGGAGCAGGAAAGAGGGGGGGGGGGGTCATTTGGAAACAAGGAGAAATCCTGAGAGAAAGTAGGGGCTCAAGAAAAGATTGTCAGAGGGCCCCATTCATTCATTACTTCAGAAAATATTTACTGAGCATGCGCCATGTGCCAGGTACAACCCTGACTACTGAGGGCAGAGTGAACAGAACAGAAACATCGCTGTCCTCAAGCTCATGGTGCTAGAGTCTTCAGAACCGACCCAGTCCGAAATTTTGTAACAAAATCAAACCTATATAAAAAAAAATCTTTGGCATTTTGACACCAAGAAGAAGTAGAAAATACCAGAATGTTCTTTTGAGAGCCCAGCAACAGGACGGCGGGCGTCTCATTCACGGTTCACCTGAGGAGCCGAGGGGACCTGCTCTCCTTGCAGAGGTGTGCCAGGTTGGCTGGTACTGACTCTGGGTGCCAAATCGGTAGGCATTTTATGAGCTGGTTGCTAAAGGCAGCCAGTATTAAAATTCAGATGATCTAACTTTGAAAGGAATCAAAGGTGATGAATTTTAAAGTTAGATCCTTTAACTCCATGTAGCACTCCCTAACCACCCGCCACGCTGGGTGGGTATTTCTGCGACTGACAGCCTGTGTGGGTGTACCCCGTCCAGGGTACTGTGCGTCTCTCCCAACCCCCGAAATTCACATCCCAGGGACTGGTCAACGCTACACACGGAGAGACGGGTGTTAAAAGCTTAGCAGCACACCCCTGTGTGACAACCCAGGGGGGCCGCGGGAGGGTTACCTTGGCGGAGAACTTGAGGTGAACTTCGGCCTCGTCCGCCAGGCTCTTCTTCACCTGCGCCCACGCTTCTCCCAGGGAGCTGCAGAGGAAGGAGACCGTCAGACCGAGAGCCGCAGCGCCCCGAGAGCAGCGGCTGAGACCGGAGACGGGGCCTGCGGGCTTGGCCGGGCAGGGGCCAGAGGCCAGGTACGAAACACACTGAGCGCTGCGTCTCAACCCGAGCCATCCCAAACTGAGCCGAGGCGCTGAGAGAACAGGCTGTGGCAGACTGGGGGAATAGCAGAAACCCAGAGAACTGGGGCGGGGGGCGAGGAAGGCGGGGTGCAGCGGCAGGGAGGGTCTCCCTAGCTGGCCCACTGCTCTCCCCATCAGCCCTCCCTGGTTGGTTGACAGGAGCACAAACAACGGCTGGTACGTCACAAAGGGAGGACAGAAGCCTTCTCAAGGATCAGCCCTTCTCCGGTGGGAGGTGCCACACAGCCCTCCCTGCACACAGGCAAACCTCCAACAGCCTGACTTCCCGGAGGGGCAGAGGGGGACCATCTGGGTCTAGGGACCTCTGAGGGACGCCCACATGGCAGAAAAGCTCTCCATCACCAGCAGGAGTGTGGCCCTCGCTGGTCCTGACCCTGGACTGTGAGCCAAGCCCTGCACACGGCTTCCCTGGAGAATGACGAGTCCTCTGGGCTAAATCCCTTTCCACGCGGAGATGCTTCAGGAGAAGCAATCCCCTCAGGTCCCCAGGACCCTGGAATGCAGGCGCCAGGCCCCAGGCTCATCATCTGCCACTCTTTAACCTGGTCCCCCTGAGACCTTGCTGGAGACCTCTACACCCGCCAGGAAACCCCGGCTGAATGTTCAGCTGGTTTCGTTCCATCAAAAAGCCACTTTCCCCGAGAGAATTTATTCAACTTGAGCGGCAAAAGCTGATTAAAAGACAGCGTGCTGCGAGGCTTCTGGGTCTGGAGCGGAGAACCAGCGGTGGAGAATTACCCAGCAGATCAGAACGGATGGATCGCTTGGGTCATAGCTCAGGCCTGTCTGGTGGTGGTGCTGGCTCAGCCTGAAGTGGGTGTTTATGGGAAAGGACTGACTTCATCTCGGAGCCTGGCAGCCAAGAAAGGTGCTCTTGGGTGATCCCAGTCGGGAGCCCGCCAGAGAAGAGATGGCGTGAGAAATGGGGCAACCTGGACTGTTGACATTTCTCTTGGCCTCACGGGTCTGAGCTCCGGGAGCTGCTGGGCCACCTCTGGTGGCCTGGCTCCTTGCCTGGTCTGGGAAGTGGGTAGGAAATCCAGGGCCGGGGATGAGGGGGTGGACGCAGACAGGTCATCGTACAGATATGGGAACAGAATACCAGGTCCAGAAACACGGACGTGGGGGACTGACATGCAACAAGATGCCAAATTATCTTGGTGGAGGACGGGCAAGCTTCTACAAACGGCGCAGGGATGGCTGCTTAGCCGCGGGGGAGAAAGGAATCGTGACCTCCTGCCCTGCAAATGGACTATCTCAAGAAGGATCACAGTCCTAGGTGAACGTGAACACCATCACGGCTTCTGGGAAGCAGCCCCAGGGTCATGGAGAGAGGTTCGGCCCTGCAGATGAGCGACGGACGAGTCTGCGGAAGGCGAAATAAGAGCCCACAAATCAAACGGCCCTGGTACTCCGGAGAGTTCATGTCCACCATCAGCAGAGCACATGGTCAGTGACTGGTGCACGGACAGCTGGAGTGGCCTCAGAATGTCATCTGAGGGCTCCTGGGAGGTCAGGAGGGAGCAGTCTCAGGGCCAGGACAAAGCCCTTGTCCCACGTCCAGGCTGGGCATTCACAGTGGGAGGATGTCCCCCTAAACGTTCAACTGGTCTGTCTGAGCCACCCCCCCCCCCCATATTCCAGACCCCATGAAGCCACTTCACAATTTGGAATAAAGCAATTTAGAAAGTTTTCTCATTGGAAGAGAAATTTTTCATCTGATAAGAGGGTAATGAAAAAAAAAATCTGAGATATATCTCTATTCCAATATTCAGTCCAACAAGCAAAATACCATAATTACCAACCAGAAAATACCCAAATCCCATTTCCTTCCCACACAGGAGAGAAAGCCTGCAGGCAGAATGAAAACCCGGCTCTGTTTGTTTACCGACGTGCACACATCCTGTGGGCTCTAATCTGGACACAGCGCTTGAGCGGCAAGAGCAGCCAAGTCTCCCCATCGGCAGGCACCTTCCTAGGCCGCCCCAAATGTCTAGGCTCCAGCACTGCACTCTGAACGTTTCAAAGGGGACTGGACAGAGCTGTGTGTAATCGCCAAGCAGCGTCACCGCGCCCTGTGAGTAGGGGGCCCGTGGATCCATCCCCCCTGACAGCGCCTGCTGGAAGGGGTGTGTGCGCAGGGTTAGCGTGTGTGCAACGGCGACGGGGCGTGTGGCGTGCCCACACTGGCGGCGAGCAGTGCCAATGCGTGTACGGGAGCGCTGTTGAGTTCCCCTGTTTCTGTAGGTGCATGTGTATGCCGCATGGCGGTGCAGGCCTGTGCGTTCAGCTGGGAGCATATGCTGTGCATGTTGGCAGGACTGAGTGTCCTCGGCAACAGCCCAGGCAGAGGAGGTGGCAGCTCTATAGTAATAGGGCACAGAGATGCCTGGAAAAGCCTCTGCCCAGGCGGTGGGGCGGCTCCTCCAAGCTCCTCCTTCCTGCCCTCATTGCAGGCCCAGTGCACAGAGCAGAGGGGGCCGGAAGTAACCTCTTTTATGTCCGTGGAAGAGACCCTGGCCCCGCAGGGCCGCCTGTGGCCTGTAGCCAGCAGTTTGGTGCAAACTATTGGGGGGAGGCCTGTAGCCTGCACAGCGAGCCCACACAGAGGCCTTAATCAAAGCCACATGTGGTTGGCAAAGCTGTGCCCCCGAGGGATTTCAGGCCATGCAGGCAGGTCTGGTTTAGCATCGCAGCTCTGACAACCACAGCCATCCAGACAGACGGCCTGCCTTCCTCTCGGGAGGGAGTGGGACCTGCCCTGCAGGGAGGTCGGGCTGCAGAGGACCTCAGGGACCTCCGACTCTCCTTTCCTGAGCCTTGGTTTTCATTACTGAGGGAAAGTCACACGACAAACTCAAGTATTTAAAGAGAACAATCGCATTTAGTCCATTCACCACGTTGCACAACCACCACCTCTATCCAGTCCCAGACCATTCTTACCACCCTGCTCTGGACTTAAGGTTTGTGTCCCCCTAGATTCCTATGTTGAAGCCCTAACCCCCGGTGTGACTGTGCGCTGGAGATGGCCCTCTATAACAGAAATTGAGGTTACATGAGGCCATATGGGTGGGGCCCTGATCGGACAGGATTAGCGTCCTTATAAGAAGAGACACTGAGAACTTGCTCTCTGGTCTCGCCGGGAAAGGCCACAGCAGGAAGGTGGCCACCTGCAAAGAAGCAGCGAGTTCTCACCGGACCCCCACCCTTCTGGCACCTTGATGGTGGACTCCCAGCCTCCAGAACTGTGATAAATTGAATTTCTGTTGTTTAAGCCTCTGGTCGATGGTGCTCCGTTACAGCAGCCCAAACAGATGAATACACACCCCTGCCAGAAGAACCCATTAGGCAGTTACTCCCCACCCTCCCTGCTCCCCAAACCCAGGCAACCACCAATCCTCATTCTGTCTCTGTGAGTTTGTCTACCTGGACATTTCACACAAATGGAATCACGTAATACACAACCTTTGTGTCTTGCTTCTCTCACTTCATCCACACAGTAGTATGAATCAGTACTTCATTCATTTTTATGGCTGAATACTGTTCCATCATACACCCATGTATCCAATGTGGACATACCATAATTTGTTTATCCATTCATCTCCTGATGGACCTTTGGGTTGTTACTACCTTTTGGCGATTGTGACTAGGGCTGTGCATGTATTTGTTTGAGTATCTGTTTTTATTCTTTGGGGTATAAACCTATGAGTAATTTTAGGGTTAGTTCTTCGAGGCACTGCCAAGCTGTGTTTCCACAGTGGCTGCACCACTCTGCATTCCCACCAGCAGGCCGACACTCTGTCCACAAGCAGAGCAGAGAAGTCTGCAGTCTTCCTTCCGCCAGCGACCCCTCTGTGGCTGGGAGGGCGGGGCTGCGCCTCCCCCAAGCCAGGCCCCACCAACCAGGTCTGGACCGTTGCAGCAGGAAGGGGAGGGGAGCCCGGGCCTCAGGCCCACAGGGGAGAATTCAGAACAAGGGGCCAGGTGCAGAATCCTCTCACACCCAGTTTCTTACCAGCCTGCCCTCAGAGAAAGAGAATCAGGTGTGGGCACCTGGGGGCTGAGGCCCAGCAACCAGGGGACAGGGGACAGAGTATGCCAGGACCTGACATACTCCAGCATACGACAGGAGGCCCTTGGCCACGAGGGAGAAAACAATGAGGAAGAGCTGACCTTCAGCATGCACGCCCACACCTGGAGTCAGGGGTGCCCACCTTCAGCCAGGCCTGTGGAGAATTCCCCACCAAGGGGCCCCAGGCAATAGCCAGTGATGGGTGAATAGGGATCCTCTTCCCTGAGTTCTCCTCCCCTCCCACTCCTCCTGCTGCCCTCCCCACTCACCCTTCCTCCTGTGCAGCCAAGGAGTTCTGAGAGAGCTTAGCCAAGTTCTTCGCATATTCTTCTTCAATCTTTATCCTGCAAAGGGAGCAAACCCAACGCATCAGCTCCCCAGCTAGACTGTGGGTCAGACTGCAGCCCTGCCGCGTACCAACTGGGTAAAGGAGCCCAGCAGACCATTCGCTGAGAGTACGTGGCTCTTATTTGTCTGCCTGACACATAGTAGGTGCTTCATGAATATATCTTTTGAATGAATGAGTGACCTAGTCTGAAACTCTGCCTGCTTGTCTGCAGAATGGGCTGTCCCGGCTGTCTCCTTGAGGGGTGGAGATTAAAGCTGCCATTTGCAAAGCTCCTAACCCGGGGCTGGACACATAGAGACCCTTGCAGCTTACGATGGGCCACAGGGACGCCCGGTGTGTCCTCCCTCCCACCTCCAGCCCCAGAGGAGGTGGCATCAGCCCCTCGGAAGCAGAAACAGAACTGCTCCAGACCGTCTCCCAGCTCCCAGTGCCCCTCTCAAGCCTGCAAAGCACCCGTATTTCCATGGAAACTAACCAGTGCCCAGAGCTGGCTGATTCCATTTCCCCAGAGGGGGAAGTTGCCTTGGATTTGGCTTCCAGCAGGCAGGCCCCTGACAAACTTTCAAGACAACTCTACAGGGAGTCCTGCACTAGCTGGCGTATCCCTGCTCAATGTGTTGTCGGGGGTATCGTGCCCCTGGCCCATCACTCGGCCAATGGAAAACCCCAGAGACGCTCCGGGGCGCAGCCTCTGCTTCCCGCCACTCAGCTGATTCCCGGAGGGCGTGATGATGTCACAGGGCGGCCCAACCACGTCCCAGGGCAGCATTTTGAGCAATAATTATTTCATGATTTGATGCTGAGAGACCCACAGTCTTGTTCCTTCCCATGCTGCTTTGCTTTCAACGCCACCTCTGGCCAGTCTCTAGGTCTCCTATCATCACTTCCTCTCCACTCTGCTGGGGGCCCCCACACTCCCCGGGATGACCGGACGGCCAGCATGCAGCCTCCAGCCTGTGGCCAAGAGATCTCCCTAGAAAGCGGATCTAACCATGTCACATTCTGGACTGCAGACCTCCAAGGGCTCCCCAGTGATGTCCACATGCACCAGGCCAGCCCTGTCTGCTTCCAGAAGGCCACCTCAGTGCCGGTACCCTCCTCACCTCCACCCTGCCCGCTTCCTTACGCTGGGGCCACAGCGAAGCCCCGGCCATCCGCCCCCTGGCCGAGCGGGGTGGCTCACACCTCTCCGGGCTCTGACAGGCCCTCCCTACGCGATCCCCAGGTGATGGAGAGAAACTGCACGTCTCAGGAAAGACCAGAGCTCTCAAATGGTACCTGACATGTACTTGCAAACATGGCATTTTATGAAAGCATATACCATAAGTGTGTTCCAACTTTGGCTTTTCCAGCCATTTTCCTCTTCGCCTGTTTTATATGTTGTTTTCTTGCACCTGAGCCATGCAATCTCTTAATTCCCTTCGCGTTTCATGGGTCATAAAATAAAGACTGCATTATACAAACAGAAAACGGGATTCTGAAGGAAAAGAGATGCTTTAAGATGCCAAAGAATTATTACTTTATCATTGTTGTTATAATTAAAAAAGAAATAGTTTTAAATATGTTGCCATTTACTAGAAATATTTCCAGTGTGGCCCAGAAACTCCAGAGAGAAAGCTCTGTGTATGTGTGTGAGCACATGTGCCCATGTGTGAGAGCACACGTGTACATGTGCGCAAGCACGTGTCTGTATGTGTGATAGCATGTGTTTATGTGGGTGTTTATGGATGTGTGTGAGCACATGGGAGGGGTACAGGTGTGTGAGTCTGTGAGGTATGCTTACTGGTTTCAGAACTGGAGAGAGGGGGGTATATAAGGAACTTTGTCTTTTTGTGGCTATCTTATTTCTAGGAAACCGAATTTACTGCCTCCTCGCCTGTGTTCATCTAAACCACTATTATAACCGCTGCACTTGCCATAAGCTCCTCACCTGACTCTCCCATTAGACTGAGCTCCCTGAGGCAGGGATGGGCCTGGGGAAGGGGAGGGGCTTCTGTATGCCCAGGTCCAGGACACAGGTTAGGTTTAAAGATGAACTGAAACGTAACATTCTCCTTTTTTTGTGATGCTAAGGGACAGTGCTTCAAATGAGAGCCATGCAGGTAAGTAAAGGAGCCACGCAGTCTGTGGGGACAGTAGGGAGTGGTGGAGACTGGGGCAAACTGGGAACACATGCTCTACAGAGGCAGCTGCGGCTCAGCCCAGCCGACTGGCACAGGAGGGGTGCAGAGCCACCTCCGCCAGACGTACACTTCCTCCAGCGATGCTACATATCTGGATTTTAGTTTAACAGTCTACCGATTTAAAAAATGTTGGTTCAAATCTTTAAAAACACTACACAGGCCAAAACACCACATTTGCCAGCCAGATCTGTCCCGAGGGCCGTGAGTCTGTGACTCCAGTCTTGTGCTCCCCTTGAGGCTAACCAAGCCCCGTGCTGGGAGGCTCATTCCTGCTGCTCGCTCCTCGCAGGCTGAGGGACCCACACGGGCACTGTCCCCAGGCCTCACCTTTCCCGAATGAATTCTGACATTTCCTTCTGCATCTGTTTGCCCTTCAGTTGTTTCTGAAGCAGCAATTCAAACCCAGCCACCGTGCCGTTGCCTTGGGGGTCCTTCTTATCAGCCTAGAAAGAAAACAGAAGCAGGAGAGCTTAGGTGATGGTGGGAACCAGACAGAATGGAGCATAGGGAAGACAGACCCCAGAAGGGACACGGACACCTGCAATCCCGACCTCAGCCCGAGAGGGAGGGCAGGAGCGGCAGTCTTTGTTGCCCCGACCTGTGTCTCTCCTGGTGCCCTGCTCTTGCCTGCTCTCAAAGCTTAAGCTCTTACTGCTGCTGCTGCCACCCCACGCCCACCGCCTATGGTCACTTCAGGATAAAGTGCGTGCGGCAATGGCTCAGCACAGTGCTCTGCACACACCGCTCTGCACACACCGAGTACTTAGCAAACAGTGTCTGCTATTAGTTACTTTTAAACAAAAGTCAGGACTCAGAACAGATGGCCAAGTCAATGAAATGGAAAGTTAGTATCCAATTCATTGTTCAAGCAGATACTCTTAAAATTTCAAAATGAAATGCTTTTACTTGTCGTGCCTGCACTTCCTCAAGGACGCCTGAGTATCTCTTTCCTGCTCTCCCCCTGCCCCACCTCCTGCCTGCCTGGCAGCCCTCTCGTGGCTTTCCCTGCAGGACAGTCACCTGCCACCTGCCCTCACAGCCATGGCCGCTGGGGAACAGCTCTCGGTGCCTCCCTAGGTCCTCCTCCTCTGCAGCCTTTATTTACCCACCAGGAACCCAGGGTCAAATGCTTTGCTATTTAATGGAAGGAGTTAAAAATGCGCCCTTTGACATCACAGAGAGATGCAGGTGCATCAGTGAGAATCCTGGCCCAGGGTCAGCTCAGCCACTGTGTGGTCAGGTCTCCCCAGTCCTGCTGTGTCCTTGGCCCCCACCCCTTGAAAGAGGAGTGGGTTGCATCTCTATGATCTCAGAGTGGACATTTGAGGAGAGGAGAACAGAAAGGGCGGCGATGCTTGGAGAGAAGCCCACTGTCAAGTAGATGAAAGTTTTTCTGGACACCTCCCGTTCCCTTCCCACGTGGGATCCGTTCCTCGGCTGCCCTGACCCACGGCCCGCTGAGCCGCACTATCATACCTCTCGTGACAGGAAGATCACCACCAACCTGCACCATGTCACAGTGGGACTGCTCTGGCCATTTGGAAATTCCTCCAAGTACATTTAGAATTTGTACATTTCATATATAAATGCCATGTTTTGATTAAAAAAGCGAGAGAAAAATTATCTAAAATGCTGAGCCCCAATTTGTCTCCATATTGGAGGACTATGCCAAGCCACTCATCCACCCCGGGGAACTACCGCCGGAAGAAATGGGCTTAATGACTGGGCAGGGAGATTTCTGTGAGAGGCAAGGCCTTGATGGTCAGGGGGACCACGCCTAGAGTTGAGCTCTTAGATTCTGCTGAGCAGTGGCAGGGTCACCCACTCCCCGACATCCCACACACTGACCCCCAGCTCCCTAGGTTTCCATTCCCGGGGCTCACACTATTCTCCCCCGAACACCGCTTCCTTTAGAAATGAGATCTCCAAACCCAGCTCCTGTTGTCCATCTCCATGGCTCCCTCCTGGTGTCCTGCGCCCACCTGCTAACCTGCGCCCCTGCTGGCTCATAGTCCTCCCTGCCTGACACATATACATCAGATCACATCCCATGTCTGCTTACAACCCTCTGGCATCTTTTTACTACAAACAGAAGAAAACCCAATGTGCTCACAGGGCCTGTGAAGTTTTGCACACTCCGACCCCAGCTCCCCCTCCTCCGGGCTCACCCAGCCTGGTCTTTCTGATGCCAAAGCCAGAGGCCCTGTTATGAAGTCTGCTACTCTGCACAGCTCTCAGAAGACCTAGAAAAAACACAGCTGGGCCAATGGCAGCTGTCCCTCCTGGGGCACAGCAGGGACATCACAGAGCATCTTCTAAAGCACACGTGATTTGGCAGAAATAAAGCAGCACTTTTGTCGAGTACTAGGTTAGCAAATCCAAAAGGGGGCAGATGATCCATTCTGCACAGTGGTGGGGAAAAGGTGTTTTTATTTTACTTATTGTTCCTCAGGGATTTTGCCAAAGTTCTTTTTTTAAGTGTACAATTTAGCAGTTTTAACTATATTTGCAAGGTTGTGCAACCATCACTTCTGTCTGATTCCAGAATGGGGAGCTCTCGTTTGGAAAGTCATTGCTGACTTTAAAATGCAAGTGCCCAGGACTACTACTGGTTTCTGAAGAACTGGATTGTGCATTCGTCAAGAGATATTCACTTGCAGAAAGACACATAACATCTACCATCTCAACCATTTTTCAGTGGCATTAGGTAGTCACATTGTATCCATCACCACCATGGATATCTCCAGGACTTTTATTTTATCTTGCAAAATGGAAACTTTGTACCCATTAAACAAGATGCCCAAGTTCTGGGACCACAGACTTGTTAAAGCTGCAGCTCTCTCCAGATCCTTGAGCCCAACCTCCTCGTGACTTCGCTGTACAGGGAGGCCCAGGGGGTGAAATGCCTGTCCAAGGTCACCTACAAGTGTGACAGAGCAAGTCTGCAGCCAGATGCCTTTCATGAAGCTGACTCCAGTCTCCTGCCTTTACTGAGCAGCAAAGACAGCGACCTTGCAGCTTCCCTGTTTTCCGCCCGAGGTCTCTGTACTGCCACGGCGGAAAGCTCTGCCAACTCCTGAGATTTATGGAATGATCCGGACCCCAGGAGGGTCTCAACTTCCCGCCTCGGATGCTAAATCAACCGCCAGCCAGGAGAGACCCCTCAGCTCGGAGCTTGAGGCCCTTCACGCCCTGGCTGGGTGTCCACTCTTGGTCCTCGGGGCCACAGTGTGGGGGGAAACTGAGGCACCACTTACCCAGAAATAGTCGCAATAGCTCCACTCTGTTGGTTTCAGCAGCTGCTGCTCTGGCATCGTGTCTGGGTGAGGGAATGTCACACAGTTTATCTGCAGGGCAAAGGACAGGAGAGAAGATGACTTTGCTAGAGGGCTGGGAGGAGCTGGGGAGGCTTGCTCCCTGAACAGTGCCACGAAGGCCTCCTTTAGGGGCAGCTCGACAGAACACACCCGGGATCTTGAGATGCTCCAGTGGCCAACGTTTCTACTCGGAGGCAACCAGCACTCACACCCCCCCGAGAGGGGCCGCCGTCGGTACCGACTCTCTGCGGGGCAGACCGACAGCATCTATCAAAGCCGCACACATCCGGAGCCTCCGGCCCAGCAACTGCAATCGGAAGAGTCCATCCTACAGGTGTGTTCGCACAGGTGTGCAGTGACACACGGACTCGGCGCTTCACCCCAGCACTGTCTGCAACAGCGAAAGGCTGGACTCCAGTCCACTGTCCATCGGCAAGGGGACGGTGGGACAAAGCACGAGACAGGCGGGCATCTAGGGGATCAGCTCGATAAGGAAGGTGTGTCAGGCAGACTAAGTGGGGGAGGGGCGGGAGCAAGGTGCGGAAGATCTACTATGTACCACCGTTGTGTCACATAAGGGGGGTCATATACACATCTGGTGTTCACATATAGGATCCTTCTGTGGCTGGTAACACCGTTTGCGCCCAGGGAAAGGAATATGTGGCTGAAGGTCAGGGGTGAAAAGTTACCTTGTGAATTTGATCTCCTAAAGGGTATGCTAGGGACCAAGCGAGGTTCCAACGATAATCCCAGGGCATGCTGGGAAGGTGCGGTGCAGGAACTGCTGGTGGCCTCGGACCCTCCCGGAGGTCCGTCTGGGGCAGACTGCTCTCACCCGCCACCAGCTGTTACCAAGCCAGAGTGAGGGGCCCAGTGTTGCCAGGTTGTGTGACCCCAGAGGAGCTGGATATCGGGAATTTTATGTGAGGTGTCTCAATTTGGAAATGCTGGCAAATTAATTCAAGGCTAAAAACAACAATGTAAGCAAACCAACTCCTCTGCCAGCTGGGTCAGGCCCCTGGACCCCCTGCTCTGACCTGTTTCAGGGGCCCGAGGGTGGCTGGAAGTGAATCTAACCCCGTGCCCCTCCCCGGCTGGCTGCCGGGGGCACAGGCCTCCATCACAGTCCTGGGAAGAGCATGGGAGGGTCCCACCAATAAAAGGAGGCATGGGAGAGTCCCGCCAATAAAAGGAGAGCATGGGAGGGTCCCACTAATAAAAGGTGAGCATGGGAGAGTCCCACCAATAAAAGGAGGGCATGGGAGAGTCCCACCAATAAAAGGAGAGCATGGGAGGGTCCCACTAATAAAAGGTGAGCATGGGAGAGTCCCACCAATAAAAGGAGAGCATGGGAGGGTCCGCCAATAAAAGGAGAGCATGGGAGGGTCCCGTCAATAAAAGGAGCTCCTCCTCCCAGATCCTGACATCTGGCTGAAGTCTGGACAGAGACTCCCACTCTGAAGGGAAGCACAAGGCAGGAAGGATCAGGGGCACGAATGACCCAAAGATCCCTGGAGATGAGCAGTACTCAATTCCACCAAGGTCAAGGCGGAGGCTCGAGGCACCTCCTGGGGTAGGGAGTTTTCTCCCCACTCTGCATCCACAGTGACCCAAGGTGTCACTGGCCTGCAGGAGCCTGCTTGTGGGAGGGCCAGGAGCAGGTGACAATCCTCAACCCCTCTCTTGGGGCTTATACCCTAAGATGCGCCAGAGGTGAGTGTCCTCTGGGCTCTGACGACCCGTGTAGCATGAGGCTCTCTCGTAGCAATCCGGAAACAAGGGATGGATTCCAAAGTTTCACAGTGTTCATTCATGTTCCAGCTAGTGATCACAGTCCATCTTTATGTTACTTAATAATGCAATCCATGAAAATTGCAACCAAATTTAATGATAAATTAACTGACGTTAGTTAGATCAAGTATTAAGGATCACAGAACTCGGAGGCTGAATCCTCGCAACAACCTGCCAGGCAGGTTGGTTATCCCATTTTACAGATGAGGTGACCAGGGCACAGAGAGGTTAAGTAACTTATACAAGATCACACAGCCTGTGGACAGTGGTGGAGGCAGTGTCTGCAGCCAGGCAATCTGGCACTTGGTCCATGTCATACTGCTTTTCCAACGTGCTGAGGTGGAGGTACGCAGCGCCCACACCAACGCAGGTGCTCAAGCTGGACGGGTACCCCAACAGGGAGCCGAAGGAAGGGCGGCATGCCCCCCAGTGTGCACTGTTTGGGAGCAGTGCCAGGCGCCACACCCTCCTTCCCTCCCCGAGATCACCATCCTCAACCGCGCATCTTCACTCTGACACCGGCCCTGTTTTCTCCAACCCTCAGATAATGGGGTGACAGCCCCTCCCTGACAGCCAGGGCGCTGGCTGTGCTGCTGAGATCTGCCAGACTATCCTGCACACCACGGGGGGCGGGCACGAGGGGGCCCTAGGTACCACTAAGGCACCTGTGTGACCGGCCCAAGGGCCTGACCTGGGAGCCCTGAGCACGCCCGTTCCCCACCCCTAGTCCTGGCCCAGCCCCGCGAGAGCCCTGCTGGAGGGCAGAGCCGGGCTCTTCGCCCACCTCTCTGGCAGCCGCCTGCACGCAGGAGGGAAGCCAGTTTCACAACCACGCAGGCCCTGCATTCTCTCCTGGCGGAGGCTGATCTGAGAGGGCATGGGAGAGAAAGAGTCAGGGCGGAGTCTGTGCAAACAGAAAAGTAACAACCCCAAGGGCGTCCCTCTGGCTCACGAGGTGCCACACAGGGTTCCAGGGCCCCCAACAGGCCATACAGGACCCCGAATTCCTCTTTCCAAGAGAGGTGTGTAGCTTGGTTGTCATTTGACGGAATCCCCTAGATTCTCACGAAGTATGTGTATGCTGAGGGCTGTGAGCTGCTATTCGCCTGTCACTCTGACAAGTCCCCTCCGTCGCCGCTGGGCCCAGGGCCCCACTGTGAGCCCTTTCAGAGCCCCGCCCAGGCCCCCGGTGGGTGGGGACGCTGGAGCGGCAGAATCAAGCCTGCTTCTCACTCCGCAGCCCCACCAAGACCCAGACCGGCACCGAAGTGCCGCCCTTTCCTGCCCAGGCCTGCACGTCTGCTCTCTGGGGCCAGACAGAGGGGGTAGTGCTCATCCATCCCCAACGCTGAGCGAGGTTCGCTGTGCCCCAGGCTCCTGGGAGCTGGCCACCCTTCCCACCCACACCTGACACCCCACCCCACCCCAGGCCCTGAACGGCTCCCCCTTGGAGACCACGAGCTCTGAGGATCTAGCCCAGAGGAGGGGCTAGCGTCGGGGGGCGCGAGTGCTGCGTAGGAAGGAGCCGGCATCGCACAGGTCTCAGCCCATCTCCAGCCTGAGGACGTGTGGGGCCAGCTGGGCGAACGGGCAGGCGGTAGACCAGGTGAAGTCCGGGGCTCTGCCAGGCCCTCCTGCCCTCAGACTCCCCAGCAAATATTCCGCAGGGCTTGAGTGTTTACCTAAAACACTGGGGGTGCTGGTTACAGTGCAAACTTTCCAGCCGGGCCCCCAAAGGATGGGCTACAGGTTTAAGATTCCACGGAGGGATCCTGCATTTTAACAAGCACGGCAGAGGCTTCAGGTGCAGACTTCCCTCTGCAGGCCGGCTCTGGAGAAGCAGATTTAGGTCAGCGGGAAGGGGGAGCGCGGGCGCAGGCAGAGATGGACAAGGTGTGCTGGCCAGGAGCTCCCGGTCACGCCCGGCCACTCTGACACACAGCCCGAGGGCCCAGCAGGGAACCGGGGCCCCATCTGGTGGCCTGGACACCATCACCAACGGTCTTCCGGGCAACTCTGGGAGGACTCACGCTGCTTTTCACTTTTCATTCCTTTTGCACTATCGCCCACAATTCCACTATATCCCCCCATCCCGTTCTTCTCCCCCTCCCCCATTCCTGGAAACTTTGGGGAGCTCCTGCTTTGCTCCAGCACCCTGGGGCATGTTGTGGCAATTCCAAGATGAGGACTGTGCCCTCGGGTCGTCTGCCCATGCCCTGCCCTGCCCTGCCCGTCAGCTCCAGTACCAAGGACACTGCTACTGACCCCGTCCATTTGGGCTGAGCCCCTGCCCCCTCCACAGCAGAGGCAACTTCCACTGTGGGGGTGGGTTGGCGAGGTAAGAGCACAGGGCTGGAATCCTAATGGCTCCCAGCGGTGTGGCTTTGGGTAGGGTATGGCTCTGTTCCTGTTTCCTCATCTGTAAACAGGGTGACGAGAATATGAATGTGCACTGAACACTTACTACGACTCAGCCTTCATTTTAAGTGCTTTCTGCATAGGGATTCAGTCCCTACACCATCCCTAGGGCACAGGTACCCACCAACTCCCCACTGGACAGAAGTGGGCACTGAGGCAGAGGCAGGGAAACTTGCCCCAGGCGGCTGCTCGGCGACAGGTCCTGTAACTGACGCTCTGGCTTATCAACCTGGGTTCGCAGTCACCGGTCCTGCCACCTCCGCCTCTCAGTGGGTGCAGAGCTACGTGGGCCAGTCCCTCCGAACACTGCTTGTGCATAACAAATGCACACAAGAGTGGCAGCAATCACTGTTGTTCTTGTTTGCCTATAACCCTGTTTTTCCTCCCAAGCAGGATTTTCAGCCTGCATGAGCCAAAGGAGTGAGTGCACCCACTCTCGGCTTCATCTTCGTGGGGGTGGTCGGAATGCTCAGAACCGCGTGTGACGGGGCCCGAGAGAGCAATTCCCTGTCCGCAGCTCTGCTGCGCCGGTGTCCAGTGAGGGTCGCACTTCTCGCGCCTCCAAGTCCTTGGCTGTTCGAGCACCTGGACACCTCGTCTGCCCATTGGAGGAGGTACTGATGTCCAGCGCCCACACTTTCCCGAGGCCCGGGGCTGATGGATACGCCCGGTCCTTCTCAGCCTGCACGTGGGGGCTTGGGGGTGCTGGAAGGGCCGTGGGAAGCGGTGTGGCCACCCCAGGCAGAAACTTTTGCTTCCTGTCCGAAGCTCCCAGGAACTCTATTCCTAGGGATCTCTCTCTCTTGCTTTTAACTTTGTCACCTCCCAGAAGTTACCCGGCACGAACGCAGCCCTACCACGGCTCTCATTACACACCGCGTCACTTGCACAGAGCACGGTCCACCCCCTTCATCCCACTCCTGCCCGCCCTGCAGACATGGCTCCGGCATCATCCCAACCTCCGTCCCTCCGCTCGGTCCCCCAGGGAGAAAAGTGAGGTGTGAAATCGACAGAAGGGGGGACCCAGGAGGAACTGTGGCTATATCCAAGCTCTGGAACTTCCCCGATTCCAGGCTGGGCATCACTTCCAGTCTGTCCACGTTGTCATGGCAACAGCCCATCTGTGGCCGAAAGCCCCAGTTTGCCGCCCAACCAGCGAGCACTCCGAGGAAACCACTTACCGTGATGGTGTTTTCCTTGCTCTGTTTTTTGCCTGGTGACGAGGATCCCAGGTTCTGGAAAGAGAGACCAGAAGCACCATCAAAGCTGTTCTCCATACTGGACACTTTCCCACGCGGGTTCCCTGACGGTGGTGGGATTGGTGAACAGCCGCGTGCTGGGGAAGTTCAGGGAAGCTCAGCCTGCCGTTAACTCCTAAGTCACCATATTCTGGGAGAGGGCAGGAGGGCTACCCCTGACCCACACCTCTCCTACTGCCTCTGCCGGCTGGAAGGCTCTGGGGGAGCTGCTCCAAACCAGACCAGCCCCCTCGTCTCTCTCCGGCTGCGATTTGGGAGTTAACCCCTCGGCTGCCCCTCTGCTGGTAAGTGGCTGGCGTGCTGCTTGCTGCCTGAACCTGCGGAAGCCGCTGGGGAGCAGAGAGTTAAGGGAGACTGCGGGCCACCACCTCCTGGCAAGAGGGTTCACGACGACAGCCCTCGGGTTGGTGGGGCGTGCCAAACCCTATGCACTGCCCTGTGCCCTGGGGCGCTCAGCCACCCCCCTGCGGCTCTCCCCGCTCAAAGCCACAGGGATTTCTCAGCCAAAAGCCATGTTTCAGCTTTCATTTGGACTTTAAATTGCCTTTGTATATATTCCCGTCGACCAGAAACCATTCTCCCAAGCCCGTCTGAGCCCACAGCCCTCAGCAGCTGGCCCAGTCCCAGGATGGTCCTGGGACGGAGAATGAAGGACGGCCCGCTGAAAACGCCACACGAACCTAGAGGGGAGGGTCAATGCTGGGTCTCACTGTCGCACTGTCAGCAGTGACATTAGGGGTTCAGTGAGGTCCCCAGGCAGGACAGGTGATGTCCACTCCTGTCCTGAGCCACACTATGGCCGGGAGGCGGGCCCTCCCGGAGGCACCGTGGGTGGCTGCTGTGTGAGTCCTTATTCTTTCTCTAGTGGAAGTAGGAAGTGGCTGTCAGATTCTACAGATAAAGATGCAGAGAGAACATGGAGGGGCTTCTCTAGCCAACCTCAGGGTCGTAACAGCCTCCCACCCACCAGGCAGGAAGAACGTTTGGGAGTGGGTCAGCCCTGCCTCAGGAACCCCTCTGCTAACCGGGCAATACAGGGGGCCCAACCGAGTCCCTGCTTACGGGGCTGCCCATCCCCTCACCCCCACCCAGACCTACTTTGGCTGCAAACTAAAGTCAACTAATAAAACCAATACCCTAAAACGGTCTAGATAAAAAGGATCTCATAGATCATCCATGTCACAGACAGGAAAACGAACTCCCTAGCCTTGGCGTCCTGCTAAATCATGTGACATCTTTGAGCCTCCGTGTCACCCTTTGTTATCAACGGTCCTCAAGCTTTGGGGTGCATCCGAGTGAACTGAGGAATCTGCCCCACATCGAGCCCCGGTCACGTCTCCGAGCTTCGCATCCAGCAGGTGGGCTAGCGCCTCTGACCGTCTGGGGACCTGCCCTGCAGCACACTGGTCTATGCTTTTCACTTCTTCGGGGCTCCCTACTTCCGGCAGCTCCTCGAGGGGCATAACAGGATCTGGGGCAACGTCATGCTGGTGACTAATTACAGCTTCTGTTGATGTTTTTATGCATCAACTCATCCAGCTCACCCACCCTGGACTCTCCCCAGTTATCTGTTCTGCACAGGGCACCTGCCACAGCTGGGCTGCCCTGGAGGAAGGCAGACAGAGGCTGCAGGGCGGGCACACAGGTGCCACTGTCCAAGGAGAAGAGCCAGGTGCAGCGCCTTCTTGAAGGTTCATTCATGGAAGCACAGGCCAAGCAAACACAGCCGACCTCTGAACAACATGGATTTGAACTGCACGAGTCCAGCTGTACATAGATTAATTTTTTCTTTTTTTTATTAATCCTCACCCGAGGACATTTTTGCATTTATCTTTGGATAGAGTGGGAGGGAGAGAGGGGGGAAGAGAGAGAGAAACATTGATGTGAAAGGGACACATCAAGTGGTCGCCACCCACACGACCCAACCAGGGCTGGGGACAAACTGCAACTGAGGTACGTGCCCTTAGCGGGAACCGAACCCGGGACTCTCTGGTCCGTGGGCCAACGCTCTAACCACTGAGCCAAACCGGCCAGGGCTAGATTAATTTTTCCAAAAAATACATAGTCTGCCCTCCACGTCCAGGTTTCATAGCCTCACATTCAAACAGTATTTCTGATCTGCGGCTGGGAACGCACAAATGCTGAGCGAGGGCGGCACACTGTCCTAAGCCATTTTGTACAAGGGACTTGCATGTGTGCTGATTTGGGTATCTGTTGGGGGTCCTGGAACCAATCCCTTGTGGATACCAAGGGACTGTAGTAAAGTTTTTGGGGAGTCAAATGTTATATGTAGACTTTCAACTGTGCAGAGAGACAGTGCCCCACCCCTCCCCGTCTCCCTGCACCCCATGACATTGTTCAAGGGTCAACTGTCCATGGAGGGAGAGAGCGGAAGGAGAGAAGGTGGGAGGGAGAAGGTGAAAGGGAGAAGGTGGGAGGGAGAAGGTGGAAAGGAGAAGGTAGGAGGGAGGTGAGAGGGGAGAAGGTGGGAGGGAGAAGGTAGGAGGGAGGGAGAAGGTGGGGGGAGAAGGTGGGAGGGAGAAGGTGGGAGGGGAGAAGGTGGAAGGGAGAAGGTAGGAGGGAGGTGAGAGGGGAGAAGGTGGGAGGGAGAAGGTGGGAGGGAGGTGAGAGGGGAGAAGGTGGGAGGGAGAAGGTAGGAGGGAGGTGAGAGGGGAGAAGGTGGGAGGGAGAAGGTGGGAGGGAGGTGAGAGGGGAGAAGGTGGGAGGGAGAAGGTGGGAGGGAGAAGGTGGGGGGAGAAGGTGGGAGGGAGAAGGTGGGAGGGAGAAGGTGGGAGGGGAGTAGGTGGGAGGGAGAAGGTGGGAGGGAGAAGGTAGGAGGGAGGTGAGAGGGGAGAAGGTGGGAGGGAGAAGGTGGGAGGGAGAAGGTGGGGGGGGAGAAGGTGGGAGGGAGAAGGTGGGAGGGGAGTAGGTGGGAGGGAGAAGGTGGGAGGGAGAAGGTAGGAGGGAGGTGAGAGGGGAGAAGGTGGGAGGGAGAAGGTGGGAGGGAGAAGGTGGGGGGAGAAGGTGGGAGGGAGAAGGTGGGAGGGGAGTAGGTGGGAGGGGAGTAGGTGGGAGGGAGAAGGTGGGAAGGGAGAAGGTGGAAGGGGAGTAGGTGGGAGGGAGAAGGTGGGAGGGAGAAGGTGGGGGGACAAGGTGGAAGGCAGGAGGGGAGAAGGCGGGAGGGGAGAAGGCGGAAGGGAGAAGGTGGGACGGGAGTCTCTGGGATGGTTCTGCAGTTTGCAGGAGTCTCCCTGTGGTGGGTATATCACAACTAGCACATGCCCGCTCCAGCCCACCAGGAAGGACAGCGCCCTTGCAGCCTTGGCAACAGCCTCTGGGTCTAGATGGTGCTGATGGCGATGAGAAGGGGAGGCGAGTACCCGGCAGAGGGAGGAGCTCTGCCAGCCAGGCTGGCCTCCGGGGCGGACGTCACCTGGCCTCATCCTCACACCAGCAGTTCAGTGGCAGCATGGCCACCGTGCAGAGGGGGAGTGAGGCTGGCAGAAACGAAGGGCTTGTCCAGGGCTGCGAGGTCAAGAAACAGGATGACGACAGCCAAGCCCGAATAACTCCTTCTCTGTCTTCCACCACCTCACCTTTTGAGATCTGGGACAGTCTCGTTTTCCAGGTGTCTCTGCAGGGGTCTGAAAAGCTCTCCACCGTTCACAGACATTGGCTTTGGAACCTCTGTGTCCCAGGCTCCGTAGAGGGAGGCTGGGCACAGAGGCCACCCTCCTCCCTATACCTTGGGCCAGGACAGGAGTGCAAGTACTGGCAGGGAGGGTGGGCCTTCTAGGTGTGGGAGTCAGCGCCCTCCCATCTGTCTGAGCTGTGGTTTCCACCAGTGCTGAGCGGGGGCCAGGCTCCGGGACCGCTCAGGCGCTGCGTGTGCTGGGGCTGGTACACATATATGGGACGCACACACTCGCACCCTGGAGCACTGCACTGAGAGAGCCCAGAAGGAGTGACATCTCGGTCACGGTGAGGACACCTACCAGCTAGAGGTTGATTCCTAGGTACTATCCCCACCAAAATAACTCAGGCTCCTTGAGAAGTGGCTAATTCCAAATGTCCGGGCAATCCGGGAACACCTTATTGTTCTGGGAGGTAAGAAAGTGTTCACAAGATGATGTGATACAACAAAAGGACACAGAAGCCAGCTTAAAGGGGGGAGGGTTCCCACAACCCAAACTGGGATAATTTGAGCATGAATTTGAAAACTGACTACGAATGATTAACTCCAAAAGTGGTGGTGGGGCAGAGGAGGGCATCAGTCTCTACAGGAAAATGTCAATTAAAAATGTATAAAGAACCCTGACCAGTCCGGCTGGTGTGGCTCAGTGGTTGAGCATCGACCCATGCACCAAGAGATCGCATGTTCGATTCCCGGTCAGGGCACATGCGCAGGTTGTGGGCCAGATCCCCAGTGGGGAATATGCAGCAGGTGGCCAATCGATGTTCTCTCTCATCGATGTTTCTATCTCTCCCTCCCTTTCACTTCCTCTCTCTCTCTAAAATCAATAAAGGGAAAAAAAAATTAAGGAAAAAAAAGAGCCCTGGCTGGTTTGGCTCAACAGTCAGAGTGTCAGCCCAGGGACCAAAGAGTTGCGGGTTTGATTCCTGTCAAGGGCACATACTTCAGTAGTGATATGATCCCCAGCCCTGGTCGGGGTCGTGTGGGAGGCAACCGATCAATGTGTCCCTTTCACGTCGATGTTTCTCTCTCTCTCTCTCTCTCTCTCTTCCTCCTCCTCCTCCTCCTCTTTCCCTCCACTCTATCTGAGCAAAGAATGGAAAAATTTCCTCAGGTGAGGATAAAAAAAAAGAATTTTAAAAATCACTATAATTCAAAACCCAGTGTCAAAACAGATTCTGGCCATGATCACCAAGGATGCTCAAAGCACTCAGTACGAACGAAGCCAGTGAAGATTGTCAGCCTATCACCGCACAGATTGCTGACAAGTTAAAAAGCAAAA